CCGAAATACAAAAACACATGGCATGACAGTAACTGGCAAAGCATCTTTCTTTCTTTCTTTCTTAGAAAGAATGGCTAGACGTTGGTATATTTAACTCGCTAGCTTTTCTTGAGATTTATGACACACATGCAAATTTGCAAACACATATAACTCACTTTGACATAAAAAAAAAAGTGCCTTAACATCAGTCAGAACTTGGAGCTCCACAAGTCCCATGGGATCTTAATGACTCCATTAGGGTGATGGAGTGCTGGTGTTGGAGTGGATGGTTTTTGATACACGGTGGACTCTCACAACATTTCCAACTAACGATAAGCCGTCATTCTTTCGACTGGTCCTTTATTTTGTTGCTTTATTGCGAATCCAGCATGAGTCTGGAATTTGTTTGAATGCTCTGCTTTGTTCTGACTGATTGTAGTTTTATTGTGAAAGTGAAGTCTCTTACTTGTAACGTTTCTCAGAGCTTAACAATCAAGTGATTTTTCGTAATTGTTGCTCAACAAACCAACAGCGAATTATCACCCAGTTTTGCTGTTCCGCTCTCCTCTACAGAACTTTGTAGTGTCTTTTAGCTTGTTGTTTTGTTTTCTAGCTTTAGCATAAGCTTTTAATATGTTCTTATGTTATTTTATTAGCTATTACATTAGGTAGTAGCTCAAGAGCATAGCCGTCTAGCAGCAAAACTCGTGTTATTGTCTTGTCCATAAATGAAATAAAAGCAGTTAAGGAGGCCCAAATTTATTCACAAACAGTCTCATTAGACAATTGCCTCTATATGTAATGTTTTTTGCTTGATTGTAAGTTTTGTGCAGAAAATCACATTCAGCATCACACTAATTGACAATAATCTTCACCATTTCTTGAGAGAGACTTTAAACTTTCTCCTAATGAGCGTCAGTGTTTTCATGATTCTCCGTACCTCCATAACACACCGCGCTGATGGGCTGGTATTTACTCTGATTATAAGTGCTTCGCTCCCTCGAGACAACTCCAGCGGCCGCCAAATTAGATTTTCACCACATCACATTTGCATTGCATTGAAATCGCTGGAGTCATAGATCTAACGGATAATTGGGAATGTGGACTCCTAAGTGGCGGCGTTCATGTGGGCTGACAGAATGAGGTGACGGATATTGTGGACGGAGCAGTGGGCGGACAGGGTGTGGAGCGTGATGGAGGGGGTTCGCGGCTTCCTGGAGGTGAATGGTGGGCAGGTGTACAAAGATGGACAGGGCCCCTGAGGGTTATGGGAGGAGGTATGTTAACAAGTAATAACAGCTTATGCTCCGTATTATAGAGAGAAAACCTGATAACACATGAGAACATACGCTTTTGAATACAGAGGAGGTATAGATTCTATAAGGAAGCAATTAAAATGGCCCCCGTGGGAGCATTATAGACTTGAAACTGTAACCTTTCCCGTCCAATGTCATCTTTCTGTTGGTGTCCTTTGGGACAAAAACGACAGGAAGTCGTTCATCTCTGTGGTGTGACAGGAAGCGCAGCTGAAATATAGCTGTTTGGTCTTTTATGGGAGGACTGTGACAGGTGCTACTTCAAACGGACCGTTTGATGCTTGTTCTGAGATGGAAAAATGGTCTTTAACTGAAACTAGGATTGCAATTTCCACTCCTGTCTTACACTTTTTTGGGGGGTTTTTACATATTTAATAAGTCACTTGAATAAAAGGATTCAAGTAACACTTCCACTCAACTAAAGTGAAGTTAATGTTGGTTAAAAATGGTTCACGGTGGATTGTGCGAAACCAAAATCCGGGATTAATAGTAATATATTTACAGCGCCCTCCATAATTATTGGCACCCCTGGTTAGGATGTGTTCTTTAGCTTCTAGTAAATTCTGGTTTTTTCTAAATAATATAGGACCACAATGAAAAAAATGAGAAAAATGTAACCTTTAATTCAAGTGCATTTATTCAGTGTGAAAAAAAATCCAACACTAAAAAATAATTCTTTTACATCAAATCATGTGTGCCACATCTATTAGCACCCTTGATGTTCATACTTTGTACAACCCCTCTTTGCCACAATTCGAGTTGAGTTGAAGGTTACATTTTTCTACAATTTTGAGTGTGATAGTATGCTTCTGCAATAAAAATTGATATTTATTTTCAGGCTTATAATACATCTTAACCTGAGGTGCCAATAATTATGGAGGGCGCTGTATATTATTATTATAATTTTGTAGCCATACAACCGATGTCACATTTCTTTTTTGCAATCAAATCTTTCTTTAGGGTCAGGATTAGATAAGTTTCTGTGTTTCTCTACTGTTCTTTACTGTAAATAAACTGCGTGTTATTTTAAACGACAGCTCTTGTATTGAAAAATCCCTAAATTGTAGTAAATTATGTTCTATCAGACAGACTTTTCTTGTAGATTACTCAGAAAATTAGACTTATGAAGCTTTTCCCTTTTTCGTCAAGCAGCTTCCTGCATGAGCACCAAAAGTTGTCATGTGTCATCTAAATTTAAATAGTTCTATATTTCTTTCAACTGATTCAAAACATGAAATCTTTATACAACAGCATATGTGAAGACCATAGAACACGGTGGAACTGCTACTCGTGGGGTGACATGAGGCAAGTTTGGAGCAGGCAGGTGCATGTCAACTGATCTAAAAACAGCAGGACTGAGCTGAAATACATATTTCCGCACTGCTACTGAACAGAAGCTTCCTGCCAGCTGTGGAAATACCTGAGGGCAAAACCAACTCAAGCACAGCTAGATGATTCTGGGACGAGCCATTCACTCTCTTTGGGGTCCCACAGGGTGCCTCAGTAGGGCCCTTGGAGTCCAGTGGGACCATCAGCCTCAGGGGGGGTTATGGGATGGGAGGTAGGAAATTACTTATCGACTCAACAGCTTTTTGCACACAGCAGAATAATGCCGAGCTGCTAAAAGAATTATTGAATCAATGCTGGGTCACTTGGAAGAGGAGAAGGGCAAACTGCAAGAAGCGCTAACCTTACATTCACCTCAATTTAGCTCCTTGAATACATCAAGAAGGGGGAGGTTGTTAGGCCGATAAAGCTTTCCAAAATGTCTTCATTTTTTCTACACTTACAGATGTTCCAATCAATATTATATATACGGTCAAATGATTCAGTATTGCAAACGGAGCCCTTTGGCCTCTTTTAGCTTATTGTTTCAGTTTCCTGACCTTGAATCTCCTTTATTATAAACCTCAGCATGTGTGTGCAACACCTGCCTAGAACCAAACCTTTGCAAGTAGCTAAAGTAGGGTGGAAACTGGAGCATTTAGCAACTAATGAGACAGATTCAAAGCTCTAAAGACAATAAAATGAAAGCAAAATTTCCTCAATTATGTCTTTTACAAAAAAAAACAAAAATGGAATCAACATGTTCGACAACCTCTGCAGTTTCAGCTTTTCACACGACTCCACACATCAACTGTAGAGAGATCTTTCACCATGTTGAATGCATCTTCCAACAACTTGCTCAGACATTGTTGGAATATATTTTTGTTTCCCTCTCAGTCTCTCCCTGGTCGGTGTAAACGCAGCCTGCAGTTCAGCCGGATCGTCACATGACTGTTGTTTGTAGTCAATCATGGCTGCTTGGTTATGCTGAGGAGCACAGAATTTTATTTTCTTTTATTTTTAAAATGTATTTTTACCAGGTTGTAGTGCAAGCACTTTACTATTATTTTTTGTGTGAAGCTTTAATAAGATTTGTAGACAAAAGTGATTTTGATGTGATCGCAGTTACATGAGTACTTCAAAGGCTGTCGGAAAGTTGAAAATCGAGCAGTTTTCCCTGTTTTAAGTTTCTTGCTAAGACATGGGGTGTGCTGTTGGTGACTTTTTTTCTTTGTTAAGCTAACATGCCTTTCAAACTTGTGGGTTTTGGGGTTCATAGTGTTGGTGAACCTTATTCAAGCCAAACTCGAGTTGAAATGTACATCCGTATTTACAATAGTGTTGTTTATGGGATTTCAAGAAAATGTGTTAAGTAAAGATTAAGAGTTGGCTTGTCGAGTTAAACAGAACCTTCCAAGAGTATATGCAATTGAAAGGGTGCCAATAAAACCCCAAGTAATGAAAAAAAAGGTAGAACACATGATTGAAATGTGGCATTTCTGAGGAAGCTTTACTCCACACGGATCGGATGTTTTCATCTGCTGCTAGTTTCCGTCTCTCCAGTGGGCATTGAAGTCACGTGCTTCACGTACATCATGATTTGTTTGTTTTTGCTCCACGTTGTCGCGTTTTGCTTTTACCCATGTGCCAACTTTTCCACCTCACGCACTCCATTAAACCCTGTGCCAACCTTTAATCAGTCATCTGTTTTCCATCGTCCTTATACGTAGGTTAGGCAATTTCACAGTTTGCAAGCTTATTATCCTCCTTGGTTTGTTGGGCCATCTCTCAGCTGCGACACCCGCCTCCTCCCTGGAGCACATGACACCCATGTGCCCAATGCGGATATTAATAGAGGTCATAAGTGATCTGCAACCTGAAACTACCATTTATATCAAATCAATAAGGCAACTGAACGCTCCTTATTAAATCATAGTTTCAGCCATCACAAATCAATACCAATATAGTTTACCGGTTGTAGATTAGAGAGCTGCACAACACCACAGAATGGGAAACAAGAGGATGTTTGCTTGACTCGAACACCCGGAGAGACACACAAACACATGCAACTATTTATAACTTCATACCCAGGGACTGGCTCTGCTCCACAACAGCACAACATGGCACAACATCTAAACCAACTTTGATAGGCGGCGTTGATATTTCGGTCCGTCCACATCTAAGAGCGGAGGGACAGCTGTTCACATGTTCAAAAGATGGACACGGAGAAAGAAAGGCAGGCTGACTTAGTTGTGGACTTGGAGGAGGAGGTAATCCCTTCTCTTTCCATTTGGATGTGTCTTTACACCTTGTTGTTGTTGGATCCACGAACGTCATGCCTGACATTTCCTCCCTCGCCGATTTTTTTTTTTCTTCCAGAATGGTCTTAATGCACTGCACCTGGCAGCCAAAGAGGGCCATGTGGATCTGGTCCAGGAGCTGTTGGAGAGAGGTGCGTCGGTGGATTCAGCCACAAAGGTAAGATAACGGTTCTTTCCACTGAGTGAACTTTGATTACTGACAGGATGAAAGAAGCCACAGATATAGGAATTTCTAGTGGAGTTTGCAGTGTTGATTGGAGGCTAATTCAAGTTTGTCAGGTATAGATACTATACTTACTTACTTTTGATCTAAATAAAGCCCCCCCTTTACCTAAAGCTCTCAGAGAGTACAGGTGCATCTCATATCATTAGAATATGGTGGGAAAAGTTCAATATGTTTAATCAGATATTGCTCAAAGTGCAAATTATATATATTCTAGACTCATTACACATGAAGTGAAATATGTCATTTTAACTAGCTCCCCCAAAATTAAACTTTAAATATTAGAATTTTTCAGAAGATCAATGATGGTTAAGTAATAAAAGATTTATAATGCAGAAATACCTAAATTCGGAAAAGTATGTGTATGTATGGTCTGTAAACACTTAGTCGGGGCACAGATTTTCTATAGGGTTCAGATCTGGTGAGTTGGCTGGCCAATCAAGCACTGTAATACTACTACTACTTCTGAGTGGTTTTGGCAGTGTGGAGAGATGCCAGGTCCCGCTGGAAGACAAAATCTACATCTCCAAAAAGCTCCTCAATAGATGGAAGCGTGTAGTGCTCCAAAATCTGCTGGTAGCCGACGTCATATTTTAGATTATTTTGGACTACTTTGGGGGGGTTTCTTGAGTTATAAGCCGTCATCATCAAAGTTAAAACAAATTAAGGCTTTCAGTTTATGTGTAATATTGAACTTTTCCCACCAATTGAATTTCCCTTCTGGGATGAATAAAGTATTTTTCATTTCATTTCATAATCTAAGTATATAAGAGGTACCAGTAGTTAGTAGTAGCATAATACTGATTTGAGCACAAATACAAAACAGGAAAAAGGAACTTGAGGGGAACCTTTAAACTTAACCGATAGAGTAATATGTTAAGTTTGAGTGTTTTTTGTTTGTTTCTTGTATGGGCTCAAAGTAATTCTGCAAATCACCCTTTTAAACCTACTTTCAGATTTAGAAAATAACATTATAAGCTTACAGTATGTCCATGTTTAATGGTCGTTTAATGATGTTTCTTAGCACTCTTGTTCTTGTCCACAGTTTCTTTCTTTTTTAGCCCCTATGTATCACAGAATTCCATCTGTTGGGACATGCATCATTATCATGGGAGTATCATGACAGTATAGGATAGTGAGCAACCTCCTCAATACCAGCTTTGACCTCCAGCTCCATGACTGCTGAACTTTTGACCGAGAGACTAAAACCCCCTTAACTGAAACCTTACCCCTGACAGGCACTTATCCCCTCAGACCACACAGCGACGAAATGTTCACAGAAACGTTAGGGTTTAGAGCTCTTGTGTCGAATGCACCTGCAAGTCAACTCGAAACAAATATTAGGAAACGGTGTTTAAAGGGTATTGAAGGAGCTTGACCTCCTTTTGAGAAGATCAGTTCTATTTACATCAGTCATTGAGGAAAGCAAGCTTCTCCAGGTAATGTAGAGTGTTGAAGTTAGAGCTGTGGAGAAAGTGGAGCTTTAGAGGAAAGTGATATGTTCAGTGAAGTAGTAAACATGGAGGACTAATGCTCAAGCAATGCTGATCATTCCAACTCCTGCAATCAGAGAAGGTCTTGTCTCATTACCGAGCTGGTTTCTAGCGTTGGTGTCGCTCCAAAATGCAACCACATACTACATCGCAGTTGCTAAAAAGCAGAGATGCAATGTATTAGGAGTGAATTGTAAATCAAATTATGTTTTCTATCTCATCCAGAAAGGAAACACAGCACTTCACATAGCCTCTCTGGCCGGTCAGGCTGAAGTAGTGAAGATCCTGGTGAAAAGAGGAGCTGACATCAACGCACAGTCTCAGGTGAGTCGCTGTTCTGATGCCGTCATCCTCCTAAAAGGCATTAAATCAGTAAGCGCTTCTCGTATTGCTCGCCGCTAATGTGATGAGCCACGGTTTGCTCATAACCGGTAGTTTACCGGTAACCTTGTGCGTCTCTTTTATGTCTTGTAGAATGGCTTCACTCCTCTGTACATGGCTGCCCAGGAGAATCACCTGGACGTGGTTCGGTACCTTCTTGAGAACGGAGGCAACCAGAGCACTGCTACAGAGGTGAGCGGAGTGTGGGTGTGCATGACAACTGTGTCTGCAAGCAGCGATTTCAGAAACAGGAGCGAGATGGAAATGGTGTTGTTTTTGCAGATATTTAGTCATAAATCAAAAATATTGGACAGACCAGACTTTTTTACCTGATGATGGTACGAGATGAAAACGGTATCTGGAAGGGAAATGAACTGAATGTGATAGCGATCTATCTGACATTTGCGGAGATAATTCATTAATTATTTTTTCCGGTATGTTATTTATTCTGTTACCTGCTGTTTTGGAGATGTTCCACTGTGATGTTTTACATGAAAAATCATCCAACATCTCAAGTGGGATGATTCTTATGTATTCTGGTAGACTTTTATTTTGAAATTTATGCAGAAATTATTATGTTTTATTCTTTGAAATCCATGGAAGTGCCATATTATTGTGCGGGTGGTATTGCCCCTGCATCCTTCAAAATGACCAACGTTCTGTTTTTTTAAGAGTTGCCCATTATTCAAACTTTGTCTGAGGGTTAGTACGACTATCACAGTACTTCCAAATTAAAGATTTGTTTAAAATGAGCTTCATCCAATCTTCCTTTTTCTTTTCTTTACCCCCTCTTTCCCTCTTCACAGGATGGCTTCACCCCTCTGGCCATTGCACTCCAGCAGGGCCACAACCAAGTGGTTTCTATCTTACTGGAGAATGATACGAAAGGCAAGGTACGCCTGCCTGCCTTGCACATTGCCGCCCGCAAGGACGACACCAAATCGGCCGCCCTGCTCCTCCAGAACGACCACAACGCTGATGTCCAGTCGAAGGTATTGTGCCGTTGTGCGGTTTGACTCGCAAAGGTTGGCATGCGTGGAAGTTCAAGCTAATGTGGTGCTCTGTGTTTGTGCCAATGTTTCCATACTGTGGTTAAACTAGAGAACTGAGGGTTTGGCTAAATAGCATCTGGTAATATTTGAAGTACAGAATAGAGAAGGTAGGCACTGAAAACCAGTCTAAGCCAATGGTTTTAGCTTAGTGACGCCGGGATCCACCCTAAAAGACTCTCTGAGACTTTGTTTACAACTGCTACTAAAATCTGTATCTGGATAAGTTATCCTCATGACCAACGATATGATTATGCTGTTTTCATTATATCCTATCTTCATAATCACAGGGTCTCGCTTTTCTTTTGTCATTATGCAAAATAGATGAGTAGGTGGAAAGCTGGCAAGAAACAGTTTCATAGAAGGTGATGTTCCAGTAGAATAATGCGGATTTCTTATGTGTGGGCTGTACTGTAGTTGTAGTAATGACATTATTGCCAGTGATAATGACGCTTGAGATGAGCTTTCTATACCCACAGGGGCAACCTCGAAGCCCACAGCGATGTTGCCTCCCGCCTACATGGGGTCTTAAAGTTTCTGGTCAGAAGTGTAATATGTGGGACATTTCTACCAATGGTTAGGGTAGTTCTGACCAGTTTCTGTGTGAAGTGGAACTGTTTTGGCACTCAAATCGTGATGATGTCTCTTCCCACGGTGATGATATTTCTACCCACTGCAATGATTTTTTTTTTGTCTAAAATGTTGGGCTTTTCATTTGTAATGCTTCTAACCCCTGAGATGATAATATTTCTATCAACAGTGAGCATGGATGGGATTATACGCAGTTGGAACTAAATGTTTGGATCCTAGTGTGCCATTAGGACCTAGATGAAACCTCAGGATCAGGGGAATTTGGCACTCTATATACCTATTGTTCTCTCATGCCATTGCAATTGCTATAAATTGTCAGAGCCACATCAATACAGCTCCTGAATACTCAAAGGGAAAGTCACATGGTCAGGCTTGGTTTGGATGCAGAAGGTACCCATATTCTGCTATTTTAGGTTTCTCTTTGCTTCAATCTGTTGTATAGCTGCCTTTTTGCACGATTCATACCAAAGTCCACCCTTTTTTCAGTTACTTATCTACATCACAATGCAACACTGTGCCTGCCTAGCGGCTAGTTTAGCAGATCCTGAAATAAGGAATGAGCAGCTTCCTTACCAGAGCCGCTTCTGCTCTACTCCCAGATGCAGGGTTACGATGCATAAACCAACATTACCTTAATTCAATCAGTCCAGCTCACCAATCAGAGCAGACTTGGGGTTTTCAGGAGAGGGGTCCTTTAAGAGGCAGGCGCTAAAACGGATCATTCCAGGTAGAAAGTGAGAAGAGGTGCTGCAATGATGTCCAGTATGAGGAAAATAATGGGGTTCTTTTAACACTAAAGGATGTAAACATATTGTACTAGACCCAAAAAATCAAATTCTAAACTTGTAAATGTGCATAATGTGGGCTCTTTAATACTAATTCTCTACTTAAGCTGACTATAATTAATCATCAATGTCAGAGTAAATCAGTAGTTGTGAGCCGTGGGGATTGTCAGCTGAGCCGCGATTAAGAAACATTGTTAGTGATTAAAAAAACAACAAAAAAAACATCGAACTGAATGGGATTAAATTAAAAAACAAAAAAACAACTACTGATAAGCATTCATTGTACTACGGAAGAGGATTTGGGCCACTGAAGAAAAAAAAAAAAATTCTGAGGAAAAAGTCAGAATTCTGAGATTAAAGTAAAGAATTCTGACTTTTTTCCAGGACATAAAAAAAAATAAATTCTGGGAGATTTTTTTTTTCAATCTCTGAAAAAGTCAGAATTCGGACTTTTTTTTCCAGAAATTGAAAAAAAAAATCTCCCGGAATTTTATTTTATTTTTTTAATGTTCTGGGAACAAGTCAGAATTCTGACTTTAATCTCAGAATTTTATTATTTTTTTCTTCAGTGGCCCTAATCCTCTTCCGTATTGTACTAATTTAATCGATCCAGGTTTTCTTTTACCCACTCATACAATGTTTACCTCATCTTTACCAAGTAGTTTTAGTTGCTTAAACTTAAAGGCCAGGTTAGCAGTTTTAGAAGGGATGGATTGTTGATGTGGGCACCAGAGCAAAAAAAGGACAAATGTGGGCTGTTTTGGAAAACGGACTGGAGAAGAAAAGAAAGAAATCTGTGTTTTACGCTGTGCAGATCACATGGACATTACAAGATTTCCCTCATCAAGATAAAATATCCAGATACCAACCACAGCAGTTGTAAAAGGAGTCACCAAAACCGAATAGTGTATGAGAGAAGGCTTCTAACTTGTCGTGATGTACTTTTCCAATGAAGCTAATGTGTATAGAGTGTTTGTGTTTCCATCAGTCTGTCTGTGCATCTCTCTCTCTCTCTCTCTCTCTTTCTCTTTCTCTACTTCTTCCTTCCTCTCTCTCATTCAGTGTCTCTGTGCCTGCCACGTCACGCCTGGTCTGCCACTAACTGGGTCTCTCCCTTTCTTTTTTTTTTCCTTTTCTCTCTTTAAATGCTTCCTCTCACACACTTCTCCCCTCATCACCCCCCTCCTACCTCGCTGCACCGGTGTCTAAGTGTAGCACTGTCCACTGCATGGAGTGTGCCACTGTCTGCAGGTTGTATGGTGGTCATATCTAAGGCTGCATGCAAACATTGATGGGGGGGATTACGGTTGTTTTTAAGACTGTTTTATGACCATCAGCAAGGGATGGGAGGGGTTTAAGTGTCAATAATTAACGTTGGAACACTCATTTATAGCTATGACTTTCCCTCTGATACAAGATAGGCCTTTAAGTGACGTGGCTAGAGTGAAGAGGATGCTTCCTGGATGTTAAATACCGTTTCGCCGGTTATGTTTTATGTAACGGAGTCTATTCGGAGTATATGCATGCATTTGTTGAAACGCCATATGTGCTGGGATGCAGCCATGCTCAATATGACTCATGAGAAAGGGCCCAGAGGAGAGCGGCTATAAACTGCAGCATGTACAGTCACACACTCGCACACTTGAAACACATGGTGCTGCATCTGGTTATCACTGGGAAAAATAGTCCAGCAACTAAATGGTCCACTTAGATATCAGTTCAGCAAATTAAGATTCTGGATCCAGAAGCAGGTTAAGACTACTTAAAAATAACCTCAAGTTTTTCTCTGTGGCAGGCGAAAATGTAATGTATCGGTACTTTTCATTTTTAAGAGGACATACGTTTCTATTTCTTCCTGAACAGAAATGCAAAGTTTCCATTTTAAAATATTAATAGCACTTATCGTACACTGCAAGAGTTTATTGCTAAAATGATTGGAGTTCCACGGATTGGTTATGGGTTATTGATTTAAAACATTTGGTCAGGTAGGACTGTAGGAAGTGAGTGTTATTTACTGTTGCATTTCAGGCCTAAACATTAATAATATTTAATGTGAAAGGCCAATTAGAGGCAGTTTCCCCTCTGTCTAACCTTGAGAGTGCATCAATGGAAAGTGACCCACTCCAGCCACGTCACTTGTCACTTTTGACTGCACAGCTGCCTCTGAGCCGCTGCGCATCGACTACACTCACACTTACGTGTCAAACGAGCCTAACCGATCTTTCCCTCCCTAATTCCTCCTGCAACAGATGATGGTCAATAGGACTACTGAGGTATACACACGCTCCTTTAATTCTCCACAGATTCACCACATAGTCCCATCCTTTTTTGTCGTTTCTCTTTCCTTTCTCTGCACTACCTTTTTATTTCGTTCACTTCCACAGCACCGCATACCGTAGACAAACAACATTTTGGTTCATTTCACATTTTTCTCACCGTTTCGGTTGGTTTGGTACTGTATAATAAGGCCACCATGCACGGCTGACAGGAATGGCCAAGCTGCTGCCACGTGTCCTGCGCTCAGGCACTGCACAGTCTGCTTACTTATAACTTTTTGGGTTTTGTTATACACACTCACTCTGTATGCATTTTCATTATTTTATTTTTTATTTTTTTTCAAATTTCTGTTAATTGTTTTCACTGGTTCAAGACAGCATCTTTTGTTTTTTCTCATCTGTGACCTTCAATACATTTAGAAATATCTCTAAACAGCATCATGATTGAGATGTATAGTTTATTGATTTATTTTAAATGATTGCATTTTCCTCCTGTACGGTTTTGATTTGGTGAATATTGTGCTAATGCATTTTTTTGGTAAAGCTATGACTGTAACACTGTCTACTAGTTTTGTCTATTTATGTCTTGTTGCATGATTTCTAGAGATGCACTATGAACTACTTAAAGTAGTCTAAAGTATTGCTTACATGCTGATCGATGACTGATAACTTTGCAATTTACTGCTGCTTAAGTACGGAAGTCAAGCACTGCCAAAATAAAAATGAATTTTTTTTTTATCAAAGTGGAATTTTATTTTCCATCTGTGTGCCTATGATTGACGTGGAATTTAAATCAATGTAAGAGAGTGCATAAATACTGCCAAAATTAAAACTTAAATATTTTTTATGCACTCTAAAGCAAAACATTTACATGATTAATGAAACTGAAAGTAAAATTGACTCTTGCTTTCATTTTCAGACAGGCAGAAACCAATATGATGTTGATAATGCAAACTGGACCTTGATGTTCTACAGTCTGAATAGAAACCAGAGAAAATGAAACAAAGTTGTGTTTATTACTTTTTAGCCAAATGAAGGTGGACAGAGTTTATGAAAGAAGTCAGGGAGAATACTTTTATTATTAGCACAACCATAACCTTAATCAAATTTTGAGGTATCGGCAAAAGTCAGCTTGAATTTGAACAACAAATCAAATTCAATTATAAATGTTTACTTCCACATTTAGATTGCATAATGTATGCTGACACTGAATAATCATTTTGCAAGTGTTTTACTATTTAGTGTACTGAATACTACTCATTCTGTGCAGTGCAATATTTATGCATTTAAGTTTTTTCTGCTATATTTAATTAGCACACAAATGGAAAATTGAAATTGATTACCAATTTTTATATTGGCAGCCCTGGTCTTCCGCACTGAGCAGCTTCCAGATTAAGTATTCCAAATGCATGCTTCTCTTTAGAATATCCTCAAGTTACTGGTTTACAACTAATAGTCTTTTCTTACCACAAACAACGCTAAACAATAATGGCATGGGAAGCTTGTGAAGCTTTAAAATATGACCTTTTTCGCCAACGATTTGGCACTGAAGAGCATGCTGCATCCACGCTACCTTAATTTGCACCATTCTAAGCTTTTGACTGTGTAAAGTTTTGAAACCATCACGTTAGTCACTGTATTCTTCACACTTTTGTAAACAACTTTTTCACATTAAATCGGACCAACACTTACAGAATGGCAAGGTAAGGCAAGAATTTCACAACTACTCCAACCTGCTCTGCAATCTCTAACTTTTTCTCATATATTCTCATTGCTAACTCTAATAACTCTATGACGTACAGTTAACATAGTGCACTTTGGTGTTAATGGGAAACTTTCTCTCTGTTTTGTGCAACTCTATGATTTTGCTATAATTTGGTGTTGCCTTTTTGGTAGATGATATACAGTAGTTTGTCCATCTTCATGTCAATCTTGACAATGATCTGTGTGTACTGTACGTCTGTTCGTTTGCTTTTGTTTTTATCTTTTCCTATTGGAGCCACCTGTTTTACTTTTTGATTTATAACTTGCATGGAAGTGATGTCTTTGTTTCGGGGTTTATATGTGGGGTGCTATACATTCTGACTTGCATATTTTTTAAAAAAACAAAACAACGATGTAAAGGATTTTTTTTTTTAAAGTGACATTTCATTGCCTTTGTTTTCAGTTTACTTTCTGTTCACCGTTGATGCTTGATGCGACTGCTGCATGCTGGGAAGACTAAAGGTCAAAACGCAAGGGTCAAAGCTGATGGACTTGGAGACAAATCTAATGTCTGACCTTTCTCTTTGTCTCTACGTGTTTGTCTCCTTCCCGTCTGTCTTCCAGAGTGGATTCACCCCCCTGCATATCGCTGCCCACTATGGGAACGTCAATGTGGCCACACTCCTGCTGAACAGAGGGGCGGCAGTTGACTTCACAGCAAGGGTAGGGCACCTTTCTAATAGGCTCTATTATGTGGGTGTAATGAATGCATCGTAGTTACAAATTCTGGCATTCATCAGCGCTCAGTAGACGGCAGTGTTAGAAAACACTTACTACTAACTTTAACTAGTGGTTTTGGTTGGCTAAAAATCATAGTAGCCCTTGTAGCATCTGTTGATTGCATTAATTTGGCCTGTGGTCCACCTTAAGCATCGTCGTTTTGAGACAGTCATGGATCTTTTTTGAAGTACAGATAATCTGACATCAGGCATCCAGTTCTTGAATCTTGGATTCTCTGTTAGACTCTGGCTTTTAACCCCTCTATAGCTTGGATTTCAACCTGGGGAGGGCTTGGGTAGACTGTCTGAAGGGGCTCCAGTGTGCTTGATGTTTTTCTACAGTTCTTGGGGCATGCTTTGATTGGCATGCACCAGTCTGTGTCTTGTCTTTAGCTTCAGTCTGCCTAGACAATGAGCTTGAACCTGAGCTAACTCAAACCCGAACTTCCTAACCTTGATTTGGTTGTGTATACTCAATCGTAACTTGGTTGCCATATGCACAACTTGCATGAAAAACTGTAGAAATTTTAGAAAGCGTTTCTTCAGTGGAAGGAATCTACGTTTTTTGCAGAATATTTTGGTCATAGGGTCGCTTAAACAACACAAAGAAAAAGATGAACAAGAATAAAAACATTAGCAAACTTTGACAAACTGTATACTGGAAAACACAAATACAGAAATCCATATTCTGGAGCACAAGGCAAGTTAAATGCTAACCCCAAGTTTACAGCCAATACACTAAGTATCAATCATAGGTTACAATCAGAGTGTTACAACTAAAATTGCCTTATAGGTTATTACCAAGCTATTACCAAGTTATATTCAGCCACCATAACAAGCTTGTTAATGTACTTCTAAATACCACAGTCATCAAATCTGAAGTCCTCAGTCCGTTTACTCCCCACTGCCCTCCTGTCATCTGTTCCCTTGAGCATTGTCACTGTGTGTGGCCTCTAAGATATACAAGCACTCACTCGCACAAAGAAAGCCCTCTTCAAGTGGGGCCTCATCTTTTCATGGATCAAGACACAACTGAGTGAGAGCGTTTTTAACCGAAGCTTTGAAAAGCCCAGACTTGGGCTGTAGACCGAGTGTCTGACCAAACACCAGCCCCTCCCCATCACAACTCAGCTGTCCAAAATGACGACTTTCATTTCTGGTTAACCTTTTTCAGATGTAAATTTTGTCCTTTTACTTTCAACAAAACCAATTCAGATGTGCTATTTTTGACCCTCGTAGCAATGTGGATAAAAATAGCTCCTTGAACACTCACACATGGAAATATATTCTGAAGCATTTCTCCTGTGTGTTGCTGACTAACAAGGAGGCAGATTGTTTTTATTTATTTTTTAAATTTAGTGTCCTTAAAGTTTCTGGGAGAATGTATTTGTAGTTCAGACCTTATTGATCTGAACTTGTTTTTATTTATTAATAAAGTTGAACACGTACAAGTCAATCGGTACACTATAAAAGCATTTTTGTTTCCGATGTATGCCAACTTAATTGTCAGCAATAAATTGAAAAGCACTACATAAATGTATATATTATGTGAATTTTTAATTGTTAAATAGAATATTTAAAGTGTTAAGGCTTAATTAATTCTCCTATTAGTTTTGCTATTTCTTATTACCTCAGAAAATATGGTCTATATGTTTTTTTTTTATGGATTTCATTTTAATATGTGCATCATTTTTATTACTGATGCCCAAATAAAATCTGTGTTTTGTCCTGTCTGCAGAATGGGATCACTCCCCTCCACGTGGCCTCTAAGCGTGGCAACACTAACATGGTTCGCCTGTTGCTGGACCGTGGCTCTCAGATCGACGCTAAAACAAGGGTGAGTATCACAGCAAAACAAAACTAACATAAAACTGCCTGATTCTAGAGGCCAGTCACCTTTAACCACAACATCATATGCACCAGGAAACGATCCAGCTGTTACACCCACAGGAGCCTAAGTGGTCGGCGCATTATGATCATATCCATTAGCGACAACAGATGTGAGCTGATGTTGTTTTGCAGTACAGTCTGACCTCAGGAGGTCGGGATTAAAGGCACTATCACTGGATATCCTGACCTCTGCTCTGTTGTGGTGTTGTGCGCCAGCGAGCAAGACTGTCGTGTCATTAGCTGTGTCTGATTGTAACTGATACAAAAACATTCAGCCTGAGTTAGTCACTGGCTGCATATCAGCTGTCGAAGTCTTTTTCAGGTTAAGGCACTAGGGTCAGTTGACCTGACTTAAAAACAAATCGCCTGCTATAGACACTGACATCAATAAAACTAAAACACCATTGTTCTGTCTTTATGTATTGAATACTTTGTGTGTGTTCCATAGGATGGTCTGACTCCCCTTCACTGTGCGGCTCGGAGTGGACATGATACAGCTGTAGAGCTGCTGCTGGAGAGAGGAGCACCTTTGCTGGCCAGGACCAAGGTGTGCCACATGTTCATTTACCGATCACAGGATTCATATCTCATGCTGGAAACACATCAACTCTATAGTGTAACCCAACCCGCAAGATGTAGGGAATAAAAAAATGGTTGCTGGGAATTAGTTTTCTTGTTTGTTTTTTTTTCATCACTTTGGCCAACAAGTACATCTTGGACCCCTCACAAAATCCTGACTAACCTACTAGCATTGTATGCATTTTATGACAACTTCCAAATGTTCTGTGATGAATTAAAGCTTATATCTCTCTACTTTGTACAGCTGCAAACATGGTGACAGGAAAGACAGGCAGCAAGTTGCCATGGCTTTCTAGCCTTTTTTCAAGTACATCACACTCAGTATGACGCTAACCGTCTCAGATGCCTTTATTAGTTGAGGTTCTTGTTTCTGGAAGTTGGTTCCTGGCTCCTCTTTTATTGAATTTATGACTCTGTAATTATCTGTTGTGACACAGTGACCCTCTCATCAGACAAAAATATTGTGTTGTCTGAACCTGGCATTAGTCCAGTTTTTTCCAAGGGCAGACGAAAGTGTTCCAGTGTTGTTTGTCCAACACTGCATGATTTATTTCTGTAGAGGTATACCTATGCAGATTTGGTAGCAACCCAGATCCAACACTTAGCTGGTGAGGAGGAGTACTTTCTTTCTTTATTTCATAGAATCTAGTAGAACCAACAACAAAAAAAAGCTATTTTTGACCCCAACAAGCCTGTCCTTGTTGGGTTATCAGATTAGAACAATGTGGTTTCCTCATTACTCTACTGAGCACTTCAAACTCCTAATCTTAGATGTAGATCAGCAACCTGCCTCTTGAAGATTAAAGAAACAACATGTAAATTTTAGTGCTAAACTAGCCAAACTCAGCAGTATTAAGAGTGAAAACAAAACTTTAAAGCTGCATTAGTCAGATATTTTGGCCATTTGGTGGCAGACCTCCACAATGTGGTTACTATGGTAGAAAACAGTTGCTCATTTCTGCTTATAATGACAATACCTTTAATATTGAGGGTTGTTTCATGCAACCCGATGAATGTACATCAAATATGCAGACCTTACAGTATTACAAAGAGAAAATCCAACAATGCCCCATTGAGCAACAGTTACAACTAACAGTGGGTTGTTTGGTGCTTCAGAGGCAACTCACTGTGAGTTTCTTGGTCTGCTTTGCTGGAGACAGCTGCTATCTGATCCTGAAGACAAGGTTTGTGTTTGCAGCAGCACTGAGGCAAAACAGAAAAGTTTGAAGAGGCTTAATAATGCTCAGTAGAGCTGCAGATTCAGCCTTAGTTTTCTGTGCACTTATTAAAACAACACCTTTCCCATCACACCAAGTTAATTAAGCCACTTTTTGTGTGAAATATTGATTAGCGCTGCTTCAAGAAGCACATTTAAAATCATGGGGTGCGTCCAGTCATCATGCACACCCTGATGAAAGAAACCTAATATTATGTCGGCATAATTGTCCGCCTTATTTACTCTCTTTTACTTTCAGAACGGCCTGTCTCCTCTCCACATGGCCGCACAAGGCGATCATATCGAATGCGTCAAACATCTTCTCCAGCACAAGGCTCCTGTTGATGATGTCACGTTGGACTACCTGACAGCGTTGCATGTGGCAGCTCACTGTGGTCACTACAGAGTCACCAAGCTGCTGCTGGACAAAAGGGCCAACCCCAACGCCAGAGCACTGGTAGGTCCTAACGATTAGTGTGTAATGATCCATCTATGGATATTTACTGTTTTCCTGTTGACTACCACGAATGTTTGGCTGCGCTAAGTGTTGTTTGTGGTCACAGTTCATTGTATTTTTGTACCTTTTTCATCCACAGAACGGCTTCACTCCACTGCACATAGCCTGTAAGAAGAACCGAGTGAAGGTGATGGAGCTGCTGGTCAAATACGGAGCCTCTATCCAGGCTATCACAGAGGTGCGTTTCACACCTTAATGCTTTGTACCTGCTGCAACAACCAGAGAAGATTCAAGATAGTTGCAGTTATCTTTCTGCAGCTGCTAGCTTGGGCAAATCAAGTTTTGAACAATTCTAATCACAAAGGATGTAATTTAGGAAATTTAGGACGTTACATCTTACTCAGGGTTAAACTCAGTGGTTCTATATATGCCGTCCTTGTTTTGTGACATGAGAGTATCTCGTGCGTTAATGCTCCATCATGTTTTAAATCTATTTCACTGTGAATATATAACTGCTGCTTCACAAAATTGTGCTGGAAATCAAATCACAATATCATATTTTACCCAAATCATTCAGTCCTACTGTGAATTTGCTGCCTTTTGTTAACAGTTTATGTCGCTAAATTCAATTTTAATATCAACATATGTCCTAGTAGTATTTATATTATGTTCCTGTTTAAGAGACAGTGGACTGAAAAGTGGATAAATACTTTGTACGCTTGGATATGAAATGTCTGTTTTGGCAAAACACCTCAAATGTGCTCCTTAAGTCACATTATACCGACTTTTGTTTAACAGTGTCCTCGAGGTCGACAAGCTTAAGGGGATAAGTGTTAAAACATAATACAACTGTGGCACTAGTAAAAAGGAGCCATAAAGGGACCAAACTAACTCACTCTAGTGGACATTAAATAGTAATGTGGTCAAACCAGGCCTAGTAAGGTTGTCACAGCAAAATCAATGTGTTTTTTCTTCCTTAAAAGCTGGAGGTAAACCTCAATCGCAGCCCAGGACTGTCCAAATAGGTCCAAGAAGAGATCGCCTTAAAGTGAGGGCGAATGAGAAAACAATGACTCAGCTATTGACACAGTAGCTACTGTATTTATTAGCTTCAACCAACTGAGCCATGTCATGACAGTAATATTTTAAAGACAAGCGCTGGACTCTGTAAACTGTGATATAAATCTGAAGAGAGTCATGTAGCTCATTTTTACTGTCCAATAAAACATAAAGACATAACAGAGGTTCCGCTTGGAGTTGTTGTTGATGTCTAAATCTTGAGCTGATTTACTAAATGACTTATAGGGAACTCAATTACAAGGTTTCTTCCAGTCTGTTTTTTCTATTCTGAAGTAATGCAAGAAAGCAAATAAGTATGTAGTGTAAGCAAAATAGAAATGTACTTTGTTTATCTGATGAACACTGCAGAGCATATATCTCACATTTTATCCAATCATCTCTACTCCACTCCCTCTGGTGTCCAGTCTGGCCTGACTCCCATCCACGTAGCAGCCTTCATGGGTCACCTGAACATCGTCCTGCTCCTGCTGCAGAACGGAGCTTCGCCCGACGTCAGCAATATTGTGAGTGATGGGAAACGAGCCAATCAGAGAGAGAAAAGAAGAGAGAGTACTAAAACGTTCTTCTCAAGTTTAGCCAGAATTCGATTGACCGGTTCAGATCAGTCGGTTCAAACATGTGAATGTTGTTTTTAGAACTGTGTGTTGACTCTACTCACCTATATGATGCTGTTAATGTTGACAGCGTGGGGAAACAGCGTTACACATGGCAGCCAGAGCAGGGCAGGTGGAGGTGGTCAGATGTCTGCTGAGGAACGGAGCAATAGTGGATGCACGGGCACGGGTAAGACATGGACTTATTTTAGCATTTCCCCTGATAAGGAGTATTTTTTTACTCAACACTGTCTATTTTCCTCCCCTGTGCCCTGCTCAGGAGGACCAGACTCCTCTTCACATCGCATCCCGCCTGGGGAAAACGGAGATTGTGCAGCTGCTTCTGCAGCACATGGCTCATCCTGATGCCGCCACAACCAACGGCTACACCCCCCTCCACATCTCGGCCAGGGAGGGGCAGGTGGAGACCGCCTCAGTCCTGCTGGAGGCCGGAGCTTCACACTCACTGGCCACCAAGGTGGGTCATCGTCATCTTTAGATTTGACTGCTCCTTAAACAGTTTTCAAAGGTGGATACTTTGATGATCTATGTGATGATCTTTTACCACCACCCTCTCATATGCATGTGGACTATGGCATCTCAGTGTGGTTTTTTGAGGCCCCCTATGTTTAAATACTATTCATTGTTTGATGTAGTGAAACTCAGTTGTCACAGTAATAGTGCGACTTGGGCTGTCACAATATCACATTTCTTACTGCATGATTATAGTGGCCAAAAGAATTCATGATAGCAATATTATTTTGAATGAAATACAACTATTTTATAATGTCTCTGTTTTGAAAAATAAATTACATTCAAAATACAAGTGATGTAAGACAGAGAGAGTCTGTTAACCTAACTAATGTTAACTATTGTTAATTATTGTCATCATTTTGAAATTCAGTGGTTATTGTCATTACCATATAGAACAAACAACTTAAGTGATTCTGTCAAATGGGTACTCCAGGGATTTCTTGCTTACTGTCTATATATTTCTAGGAAACAACAAATACTCAGATACCTGACTCTTTAACCCCATTTACACTTAATATTAGCAGACAATCTGGATCTGAACTTCTCGAGATACAAGAACGCACTGATTAGAATGCAGTCAGCACAGCCAGACCGTGTTTACAGGTGATCAACTTGCATTGTAAATACAATCTGTGTAGTTTGACCGCATTCTGAAGAATCAGTCCCACAAGCTAAATGTTCATCAAAATCTATCTCTGCCTGCTAACTTTAAAAAAACTGACAAAAGCTACAGGTGGCTGCATAAGGTTCAGCTCGGCAATGACCAAAAAAAAAGACTTGTTGAGAGGAGATTGTAGAAGCAGGTGTAAATGCAGTGACAGAATTGTGGGCATCTGGAAAATGGATGTTTTAATACTAGGCTGGAATGAGGCCCTTTAAAATTTCTCATCAGATACATAAAGATACATTTTTACATTTTTTCACAAAAGCGTGTAATCTTCCAATATCAGCTTCTTTTATTTACTTACTGGATATACAACAGATGCGGCTTCCGTCATGACAATATGGTGATCTCTGCTGAAGCCTGAGATAAAGAGGTTACAGTAATACTGTATCTGCAGGTCTCTATCTGTTTGACCCAGTTCTGATGAATGATTGATGAGGCCGTAAAGCTGCTGCTTTCCTCTGAATTGTGCATGAAGCCAGAGCGCACTCAAGTGATTTGTCATCATCATCGCTGTTTACCGGCAGAGTCTGCGCCGTCAAAAACTTGACTTTTCACTCTGCACAGGACGGATTCAGCCTTTAATTTATTCATATAATAGGAAGGATGAGACACAGCATTTTGCGGTATTCACCAGGGGGATCAGTGCTTCTGTTAACTCGTGATGTGTCTCTGCCTGGCTTCTCTCAGGGGAGGAAGGGTGTGGCTGAGCAAATCAGGGAAAGTTGTCACGCTGTAACACAAGTGCAACAACATCCATCCAAGCATCCTTAAAACAGCCCTTTCTTTTGTTTTGTTCACAATGCAGCTATTTTCCGCGGCTCGGTCCAAGTAGAACCGCTCTCTTCTGTCGATCTCCACTCCAACCTTTTTCTCTTTTTGTTGTCCACCTATTACATCAGATATAATCCAGGTTTGACAAACAAAGGACGTCTCCTTTCATGGGCAGGGTTGGGTCATAAACACGCTGATCATGTGGTTTCCTCTAGACTTGTTAAATATTATAAAAAAAAGGTGAAGTGCCCCCTCTGCTGGCCTTAATGTGAAATGGGCGCTAGATGATTGGGTTTAAAGTTGCCTTGAATTACATCAGCAAGTCAGTCGGCTCAGTGTTTTCTTAAACGTACAAAGAAAATAACCAAACAGACAGTTGTGAAACCACAGGGAAATGTATCTGATGAGATTTTCGCTTGAACTATGAAGCACAACATCCATTAAATTGGGAGTGTTCTCTGCCCCACAAAGTCAAAGCACGGTAATAACACAGTTAATCAAACTTAAATTAAGACCAGAACCAGGCTTAAGATGGCTTACCACCTTATGAAAACTTTCAAAACCCAAACTGCACTCCAGGTATTTACCACTATGAGATAAATTCTGCAAAAACGTTTGTTATATTACACAAACAGGATAAAAGCCTAAAGGATACTGTAGAAAGAAAAGTAGCAGTCCTTATAAATATGGACAAAAGTAGCTAAAGGCTAACTCGCGTGTGGTTTTATTTGGTTAAAGTGCTTTTTGATGACATATTTTAATGTATTCAGTTCATGATTAGCTGCTTGGTTCGGATGACTTTGATTTCCTGTCCTACTTTAGATGCTTCACATTTAAGTGGACCTAATGAATGTTTTTTAGATTTTCTATAAGATCTGTATAAATTCTTACAGACCTGGTGCGGTGCATATTTACTTGTTAACATGTCCATATGATAATTTTTATATGCTAGAACTACATGAGCAAAATAAGCAGTCGAGACTATATAAACCTAAGGAACCAATCCTGTCAGCTTGCAGGGTTGGGTTTTATGTATCATTCTTCTTCTTCAGTTGCCATTGTGTAGCCTAGAGTAGTGTTTAAACAGGGTCGTAGGTGAGCTGGTGTGCTCGAGCCCCTCCAAGGCCTAAAACTCTTCACAGATGCAAATGTTTTTAAGGGCTGTCTTGCAGCGTGGTGTCCCTCGGTGGGAACGATCACTGTCAGTTATTGTCAGTTTTTCCATTATATAAACAAAGCATGTAGTTTATAAAATGAAAAGCAAATTTATTGTAGAACTGTCTAAATAGGTGTTTATTTTTTAGATGACTTTGCCAGGATGTCACAAGCTCTGTTGAAGGCCTTTATCACAGAAGGACAAGCACAGGTGTCACTAGTAACATTAATAGTGGCTGAATTCCATTTAGCTGCTTCAGTTTCAGGGCCCTGGTGTCTCGCGTGCTCGTCCCAGTTCACTGTCACACTGTCATAGGTTACTGTGACACCTAAATAGAACAGAGACAACATTAATGTCACTAGTAACACCTGTGCTTACCAAAGTCAAAATGGGCAACAAGGACAACTGGAAGGTGGCAACTGCAGATATCCAACTTTGTCTGGGACTTCTGCATCCGCTGCAGCACATAAACAACCTCCAGAGATTGTATAATGGAGAACACCATCACTTAATGTCGAAAATTAGAAATGTAGCCATACATGCATATTTATTGACTCCCAGAGCTCTTGTGCTAAAAATCTTTAATACAGTAAACACATATAAATGCTTTTTGTGTCAGAAATGAATCAAATTGGATTTATGAACTGGTGTAGCTTTAAAAAGATGCAGCTCATGGGGGAAAAAAACTGATGAAATCACTCATTGTTTGTGCCCTACACTGTTAAATTTGATTAAATATTCATGAATAAAGTGATCTGAGAACCACTGGTAGCGATAGAAATGAACGCCAATTAAATTTGCTGTCTTGAAACACTTTTCTTAGTCTCTGCTCTCCGGCTGGTTCTCTCCACAGAAAGGTTTCACTCCCCTGCATGTGGCCTCCAAGTACGGAAGCCTGGACGTGGCCAAACTCCTGCTGCAGCGTCGCGCTCCTCCTGATTCTGCTGGAAAGGTATTCATCCAAAATAGACGCATTCTACCTTTAAATCTATCCTTTTGTGTAGTGTTTATTTAACGTTGTGTATGATGCACAATATGTTTAAAAGGGGATTTATGTACATCCTTTTAATAGTTCTACTGCGTGTGATTGTAGAACGTCTGTAAATTTAAACGGTGTGTTGCTGGTTTTCTTTATTGAGGATAATTTGACTGCAGGAGCGCTGGTAAGCCTAGTTTGAATCAAATCAGCCATTCCTTCATTTGGATTAACAATGATTTATTCCAGAACATAAAAGTTAACAGACGCCTTTTTACATCAAGATAACCATTTTCCCCTTTGAATATGTTCTTTTTTTGCCTCATACAAAGGAACCCACCCAGTGATCCTTCCAGCCTTTGCTGTCTAATATGACTCTAATTCATCTCAACCTGCGATCTGACCCTTTGTAACACTTTTTCATTAACTGTGTGCGGTGTTACTGCCTGCGCTAAGTGCTGTTTAATCCACCTTCGCTCACCCTCCCTCCCTCACAGAACGGCCTCACCCCGCTGCATGTCGCGGCACATTACGATAACCAGAAGGTGGCGCTCCTGCTTTTGGACAAAGGAGCGTCGCCTCTTACCATGGCCAAGGTGAGAGTCCACAGGAACACAGCTGAGGATGAGCCTGGAGTGGAAGTAGTGGACAATGCATTCTACAGTCTGCAGCCTCACACTAATTCAACACACTGACATGATACACTGATGCAGTCCACTGAGAGTAATCATGGATCTGCATAAAAGCACAACCAATGTCGCACAGTTGTGTAACTTAGTTGGCTCACGGTGCTTTGAAAATTGTGTATAACTTGTCGGTAGATAGGAAATGACAAGCCAAAGTGTTTCAACCCTCTGAACCTCACATCCCTGCCAGTGAGTTTAGTGGCATGTTATCTTAAAAATATACTAAATTACAGCATTTATTGACATCTCTAAGAACAGCAAGAATTCTCAGATTTTCAATTTTCTGACTGAATCAATCACATGCGTCGTGCAGTTCCATCAGAATAATCAACCAAATCTAAGCTTTAAATCTTGATATTTCATCAAAAATCACCTTTTTCTAGATGTCTCTTTGAGGAATTTGAAAACATATACCATTTGCTTCAGATTCTGTAAAACAAACAACCAAAAAAAAACAACAAAAAATTCTGTACTCCACTAGTTGCGACCTAACAGTCATGTAACAAAAATCCAAAAGCCTTTCGGTTGAACTGCAAGCCGTGTTTATGCAGAGCAGAGAGAGGACAGATGACAAGAGTGATTGAAAGTAAAATAAAATGAGCAACGAAAAACACAGCATAGCTCAGAAGTGGTATCTAGAGAAGCGAGTTGTTGAAAGATATAGTTTGCATGGTGAAATATCCTTCTAGGGCTGATGTGCAGAGTAGTGTGAAAAACATAGTTTGCAGAGATTGCAAAATGAAAACAGTAAAATATCTGTAGTATGGAGAGCCACCATTTTTGTTTCCCAGCATACCTAGGAGCACTTTAAAAATGTTAAACCTTTTTTTTTTATTTTGACAAATTGATAATCAAAGAAATGTAACTTTAGTTATATTTTGTTTGTTTGTTTTATAGGATTTTTTGCATTACAACTGTATTATAAGACACAACAGACATTTTTGAGTCTTCTAGCCATAGTTGTGCTGTTTTAATATGGATGCAGGACTTTATGTTGCAGTAAAAAATAGCCTACAGTAACCAAAAATGTTGCAGGAGCAAAAAGAGAGTTCAGAGAGTTGTTGTTGTTGTTTTTTAATACGTAAAATGAACCCTTTTCACATTTTTGTCAGCGACTTTTTACTTTTTTTAATCGACACCTCAAAGAACAGGCCATAGATTTTCAATACTTTCATTTCTACTCAGGCTTCACAACTTCTTAAACACTTGACTATAGTAGCTTGGAGGCTGTAGAATATTTGTTGATGGAGCTGTAGATAAACCCCAGTTTTGTTGCTCCATTGAGTGTGTATGTGGCAATAAACTACAGTGTGTGTGTTCATGGTAACGACAGAACTTTAGTGTTGCAGTGATATGTTTTTATTAGCTTCTGGACAGAAATAGAGCTCTGTGGTGTGTTAATTGTTATTGTTGATACTAGTTTAGATCTACTCACTGGATTTGTTGACATGTAAAGTCTTTAATACTAATGTAAAGTCAACAACATGCAGTGTCGGGTGATGATCAGCAGTAACACCAGTGTCTGTGCCTCCTGATTTAGAATGGCTACACTCCTCTGCACATTGCGGCGAAGAAGAACCAAATGGAGATCGCCACAGTGTTGCTGCAGTATGGAGCAGAGACCAACATCTTGACCAAGCAGGGTGTCACTCCGCTCCATCTGGCCTCCCAGGAGGGTCACGCAGACATGGCTGCCCTGCTAATAAGCAAAGGAGCCCAGGTCAACGTTCCCACCAAGGTACTGTGGAAAACTTAAGAGAAACTTGCATTAACTGTACCACTAATATTACATAAAGGTGTGTTTCACCTGTTTGTCCTTGTTGCTCTTAATAACAGCTACCATTTGTCTAAATACTATTCAGTCACAGGAAATTCAGAATGTCAAGCTATCATATAAATCCAATTATCTTTAATCACCGTATCAGTCAAGTAATATAATCTAAACAAAACCTGCTGTTGATGACAAATCAGCCTCTTTACAATGTCTCATTAGCTACATTACTGTTCTGGGTGTGTTCCTCTTGCAGAGCGGCCTGACTGCTCTCCATCTGGCAGCTCAGGAGGACAAAGTGGCTGTCGCAGAGATCCTAGCCAGGAATGGTGCCAACCTCGACCAGCAGACCAAAGTATGAGCAATATTTTTTATTTTCTGCCATTGAGCTTCCTGCCTTCTCATTACATGATAATAATATGAAGATTCCCACCTCAGTCTGCTGATTGTATCACCATCACTGACAGAATTTCTACATATGTAGAATTGTGGTACTTTTTGTGGAATTAAAACTGACTTTCTGTTTCACAGTTGGGCTACACCCCGCTAATTGTAGCATGTCACTATGGCAATGCCAAGATGGTCAATTTCCTGCTTCAGAATGAAGCCAGTGTCAACGCCAAGACCAAGGTACGACAGCCAATCAAGCTACAGCAGCTCCATGCGCTATATGCTGCATTTTAACCTCATCAGTTTGGACCTTTCTAGATTAACTGCAGGCTTTCGTTTGTTTGAAGCAAAATGTGTGGCTGTTTTTTCCTAGGCTTGTGTGCAGTATCTTAATATTTGGAAAGTCTGACCCTTAAAGTCATATGATTAATCATTCTTTTCCCCTCCAGAACGGATACACTCCTCTTCACCAGGCAGCCCAGCAAGGAAACACACACATCATTAATGTACTGCTGCAATACGGTGCCAAACCCAACGCTATCACTGTGGTGCGTAAACACCCGTCCACTCAGACACGAGCACACACAGGCATGTAAGTGCACACGCCTGATCTTTTCTGTTTTTTTTGTTTGTCTTGTGCAGAATGGTAACACTGCACTGGGTATTGCTCGGAGGCTGGGCTACATCTCTGTGGTGGACACACTGAGGGTCGTCACTGAGGAGATCATCACCACCACCACGGTAGGTCACACACCCACAGCATCCACTGCACTTTGTGAGGGTTTAATATCATCTGACATTCAAGGTTGTGTTGTAGATAGCAGTGATGTCTTGGTGTATGAGTAAGAATCCCACGTAATAGTCTGATTCTTAAGTTAGAAACCTTAATGTATCAAAGCATCAGATGATATTAAGTGATAAATTGTTTCATTTTGTTGACAATACGTACAGATTCCATTGGAGCCCAGTGAGCATTTACTTTGTGCTTTGTAGATTAAAATGTTACGCAGCAATACCCAGGCTGGTACGACCAATAGCTTATGGTAGCTTATGTTAGCGAATGTTCGCAAGCTTCTATATTACTGAATATGTTTATGAACTAAATGACTCTGCTTTTCCTACAAAGATGAAGCAACAAGTAAATGCACAATAGCTCAGCATGAGACATTTATTTTTATTTTCATGTTCTATGCAATTTGGGCCAAAAAAAATATGCTTGAAACCAAAAAAAAAAAAAATCCAGTATCTTGCAAAGAAAATTATTCAGTAACCCAAATCCAAAATGCACCTAAATACTTGCCTTTTTCCAGATCCCATGTTACTCATATGCAACTAAAATGTGTCTTTTAGTTTAAAACACTGCAAAGATAGTTCATTTCACCATTACTGTAAACAGACTATTTCCGTTTGTGTGGTTTCAAATGCAGTTGAGTTGCTGCTGTCCATACCCAGTTCAAGAAGAAGACTCTCTCAGTATAATTGTCTATCTACTGTTGGTTAACACATAGTCTTAATGGGCTGTGTTTCAGTCACTGGTTTATACTTGTTCTGATGTCTGACAACACAATCAGAAACACATGAGAATACTGGGATTATTGGGAATTTGGCTGTATCAGATTACAGCTATGTGAGCACAGAGATAAGGAGAGAAGTAAGCTGGTCTAAACACCAGCTGAGTTCAGGTTTCACTGAAGCACAAAGAGCAACACATGGTCTTAAAATTTCCATCATCTGTAAAAGACCCTTAGCTTTATTGTCTCCACAAAGCTCTGGCCTGTGGGCACATGACCACAGCTAAAGTTAATGTTAGCCACATTAGCTGCACAAAGAACTAACACTAAGGATTTTCCTGTTGTTTATTAATCCATAATAAAAGTAATCCACTGGGTCTTCGGTTCCTCAGATGCTAGGAGTGCATAAAGACTTGTGTGTTCACTCTCAAACAACAGAATATTTGTCGTGCTTAGCTCATGGGTGAGACATTTAAAATTAAGGAAACACCACAGCGCATAGACAAACCAGGCGACTGCTCATTTTAAATGGCTCTTGGAAGCAGCCAGTCTTCAATGCTGCTGGATTATATATCTGCCATATGCATCTCTGGGGATTAATGGTTGACTGATTTTTCCATCTCCATATGAATACAAGCTGGAATCAACTCATATGTGGAGTTATTTCATGTATGCTATCTTTGTAAAGACACACAGAATCTTGTAACAATGAATTCCTTTGTTGTTTCTAGTATTTGTGTTAAAACTGTGGGTAAATAGAAACAATCCAACAGCACAACAAACTTAAAACTCCAAGATGAGCTCACAGTTGAATTTAACACCTCTCTAAAACAGTTTCAATCAAAACTGAATGCACTGTATTCAAGCATAATATCCAGGATTATGCACTGAACCGAGTGTCTTTTGTGCGAACTGTATTAACTGAGATCTTCTTCCTTTGTGTATCCAGACGGTGACAGAGAAACACAAACTGAATGTGCCGGAGACTATGACTGAAGTACTCGATGTCTCCGACGAAGAGGGTGAGTCATGTTGCATACCAGAGCCTGCCAACATCAACCTACATTCTAGCCCTCAATTAGAAAGAGCTTTCTCTATGGAACCACAGGCATGTGTCCAGCTGTGCTCTGGATCAGTTAGATTAATTAGATCAAGTCTTTGTCCCACAACAAAACCCATTTTTTTATTTATTTGTTCAGCCTAAATTAGCTTCTTGGTTTGTGCCTACAACCACTACACACTACTTACAACTAGCTGGTGAATATAGTGGAGCACCATTTTCCTTCTGTTGAGGCCAAACCAGAGCTTAGAGAAGAGTGAATATTAGACTTCATCAGGTAGACTCAACTACAGTGACAGCTTTATGAGGTTGAGATATGAAGAAGTTGTGAGTAACTGTGCTGTCCACCTACAGCCTGGAAAATCATTGATGCTGATGTTATGTCAGACGACTCCATGGATGAGGAAGGTACTCGGCACGGTGTTGCGTTTGAGGGTGTTGATTTTAGCAGGAGTTGGGGTGGTGTGTTATGCATGGTGAATGCCAACGTCTAGCTACAGCTGTTTGAATAGATGCTGCAGAGAAAATGCAGGTCTGTGGCACTTCAATGTTGGTGCCACATTTTTAAAATACAGTGAGGAAAGCAGCAAACTGACTGTCTGAAATGTAAAAACTATGGCTACAATCAACTGTGAATGTTAAAAAATGCATTGTGGTTTTAAAGAGAGAACTACTAAGCTTGGCTTGTTGCCTTTCATCTCCAGCTCTATACAAAGTGTTCGTATGAAAGTGGAATTATTGTTTTCATCTGCTTTCTGGAAGAAGGCAAACTTTAAAAAAAAAAGTTGAACTCTTCCCTTAGGACTTGCTTTAAAAGTGGAAAATGCTGCACTTGGTAGTGTTTTGAAAATGTTTATTCTCCAGGAGAAGAAGCAGAGTGAATCCCTACAAGACTTTACCCTCAGTGTTGGCACTTCAAAGCTTATTTCTAACCCCGTAAGAATATTCTCGATGAATTACTGGCTCCCTGGGATGCCGCTAAACTAATCCCCACGTCAGCTCAGGCTCGACTCTGTTAGCTCCATCAAGTGGGCGGTAATATTAGCACTACGCGGTTCGCTTGGTGTAATAGCCAGGAGATGTTATTTGTGTCGTTGATTTGGAATCTTTAGTGGATTTTTTTGTTTGTTTCTCATTTCAAATACACTGGCCCACTTTAGGCGTGTTTTCAGGAGGAGTCACATGTCTGAAATGCTTGGCTTTCTTGTGTCCATGTTCGACTAAACCTGAACATAACTTACCGAATGTTGTTTTTTTAATTTTCCTACACTCTTCCCTCTCTAGGTAGCCAGTATACTATTGGCACCAGAACGTCTCTGTCTAACTACAGTATGTTGCTCACTTGTTCTGCTGGCCTAGCATACTGCTTTTCGCCAGACCTGGGCCAAAGTCAAACACAGCCCCAGCATTCGCCACAGTAACCTGCAGCTTCACTCTCAGGCTCATGTTGCTATGCAACTGTTACACTGCTCTGGAAATTATGTGTGTACAGAGGAACGATGAGCAGTAAGTGTGACATTATATTGAAAGGACTTAAAATTTGTAGGAGTATTCACAATTTGAATCAGTAGTATGAAAGCCCAAATCCAAGATTTGCAACGGAAAACAAAAACAAAAAGTTAACCATGAATTTTTTTTTTTTTTCCATTAGATTATTTTTCCTTATATTCACCTTGCTTTATAATTGTTTGGTCAGAAACTACAGGTAGTTGTAATCATAATAATAAATAGAAAAGCACTCGGAGAGGTCAGACCTCCACCAAGTAGCTCATTTCCACCATATTGTGATTTCCACCCAATGTTAAAGCTCTGCATTCATTTTATTTACACTATTAGATTCATGGAGAATCAAAACATACCTTTAGCCATCATCTGTTCATTGTGCCATTACCAGTATTTCCTGAAAATTTCCTGAAAATCTGTTTTTGACTTTTCGAGTTATCTTGCTAACAAACAAACAAACAGACAGACAAACAGATAAACGCCGGCTAAAACATCACCTCCTTGGTGGAAGTAAAAAATAAGGAAACTTATCTGGTCAGACCAGCAACCTCTTGTCAACAAGATAAAACTACAAAAATCTTCTGTGGAGGAAACATTGAAGAAGTTCCTTACGAAGATATCGGCAAGATGGACCCTCTTCCAAGGCTTGCTATTGACTTGAAATAACAATAAAACAAGTTAAAGTTACACTGAAATATTAAACAATGGATTTCAAAATAATGACAAAATTTTGTTAACTGTCATTTTACAGATTTCCCTTTTTCTTATATTACAGATAACAACCAGTAAAATCAAACATTAGAGTAATAACCTATGTGCAGACTAATAAAAACACAAACAAGCTGTAGATAGTGTCCAGATCAAAATTTTTCTTTTTCTTTTTTTTCTCTCTCTCTTTTTTTAAACAAGATTTGAGTGTAAATTTCCACACAGTCACTTTAATAAGTCAGTAGTGCAGCTCTGTTATACATGTGTTATTCAGCAGGAGATCATTACGTTGTCGGAGAAACAGTCACGATCCACTTTACACATTGTGAGCAGCTAACTTTCCTCTACAACTCCTTTGCACGTCCCTCCTGTTTTGTTTTTTTCAAATCATTGTTCCACTTGGCAGTAACGTCTTCAGACATCAGCCAACATGACAGCAAATGTTGTCCAAGAAACAGCGACAAGAAACACTACGTGTACCTGCTATAACTATTCCTCCTTCTCATTTAGCAAACCTAAACTGCTCCCATCAATCATCCAGTGACAGTCTGAACACACACACACAAAAAAACAGAGAAATGAGAAAAACTTGGAGCTGGATTTGCAGTAAACCAGATCCACTGAGATCACTGCTGTACTGAGACCAGAACATTCTGAAGCTCAACATGGAGACAATGGATGGAAGATGAGAGGGAACACCATTTAAATACAAACAAAAGATTCTGCCACTTCAACTTTGTAAAAAGAAAAATGTAATAAATGAAACTAGAAAAGCACTGGGAGAGCACAGACCTCCGCCAAGCAGCTCGTTTCCACCATATTGTGATTTCCAGCCAGTGTTAAAGTCCTGCATTCATTTTATCTACACTATTAGATTCATGGATAATCAAAACATAGCTTTAGCATTTGAATTAACATTGATATCATTAATAACAAGCTGACAGAGGGATGAACGGTCGTTCTCAAATATTTTGTACACTTATTTCTGCACTTTCTTACTGGTTTTTAAGATGTTATCAACATTATATATACATATATTATCAACATTTCCTTAAAATTTCAGGAAAATCCGTTCAGAACTTTTCGAGTTATTTTGCTAACAAACAAACAAACAGATAAACGCCAGCAAACTTAACCTCCTTGGTGGAGGTAATTACAATAATAAAATTGTCATGCTATTTATAGTTTGTTATAAGCTGGTATAGGTACCAATTCTAAGTATTAAAAAAAAAAAAAAAAAGTAACATTTAAGTATATGTTGACACTGTCTTATTATTACATGAAAATTCTGCAAGAACATTTAAAAACATTTGTTTTTCTCTTGCCTGTTTTTTGTTGGATATGGGCTTCCATACAAGAGTTTTCCAAAACAGACTCATACTACAGTATCCTATGATACTACTGCCATTTCCAGCTTTAATAAATAAAGAACTGAAAGTATATTTAAGAAAGTACTCGCTTCCTATTATGTTTTGGACATGTTTTTTTTGTTTGCAAACCAAATTCCCCACTGATTTGTCATATTTATCGTTAGTTACTAGTTCTAATCAGTTTATTTGCTGTAAAATACATTGTTTTTCTTTGAAGGTGAAAAACTCAATGTAATAAACTGCTTTTCTGTCAAGAATTCACCGAAGTCAGATTACAACAGAAATAGCACCCTGAAATGTGTAAAATGGCCATACTCACTGCTTCAGCAATCATAATTTAGCAACATTTAAGATTACGTTTTCATCACAAATTCATCTCACCCATTCATGTGACCCAGTCATACATCAACATCTAAGTTTTTGTGTTCATTTCTCGTTCTCGCTTTTTTTTAAACACAAATGAGTCTGAGAGTTGAAGTCTTAATGCATTGTGCAATTTCCATAATTACTATAAATATAGTGATGGAGAACATTTTGGCCCAGGTTAACGTGCAGCCGACAGTGACCCCTGCTGTGCAGTAGTGGAACAGCAGCAGAGCTTTATCACTAAGGTGCAGATAACACAGGCTTGAGAGAATGCTTCCTTAACATGCATCTGTTTGGTGACAAAGAAATCAAATGTGGTTAACTGTTGCTGTACACAGGCTACAATCCAAATATAGTAGGTTATAGTAATCCTGTATGATCATCTCAGGAGTGAGAGGCTAAATGGTAAGTATACTAACGTCATAATGCAGCTGCTAAATCTGGACAGCTGACTCAGCAGACAAGTGGAACACACATAAAAGACAGTATGCTATAAATAGATGATACTGTTTTGAATGAGTTGACAGAATATTCTTAACTCAAGGTCCACATTCCCTTTTTGGCAGGTTGTCATCATACTGCTGAATTTCCTCATCATACTCAGTCACTATCCTAGAAGGCAACTGGACTTCTCTTTTGGTTCTAGAAGACATTTCACTGCTCTTTGTCAGTTCTGACTGTCTTATGTGGAGCCAAAGCTGTTTATTATCACTCCCAAATGACACGGCCTATTAATGACCCAAGACTCACATGCCTCAAGGTGTGAAGGGCTGGGAAACTGCCAAGTCGGGGATGACTAAGGGTGTTAATGGCAGTTAAACTTCCTAGGGAGATCTCAAGACTGCGTTGTTAGTACTTGATAAGTGGTGTTGAAGACCCTCTCCACTTTATAACATAGATGGCCTCCTTAATTCTCAAACTCTGTCTTCATCAAGAATGTGAATATTGCTCTCCTCCAAGCAATGTCCCATTTACTTTAGATACAGGTCGACTGCTAAGTCATGTCCAGAGGAGCTGGTTCTCCTGTGTCATACAATGTCCTTGTGGGGAGGTTGTTTAGTCCCTCCTATATATAGGTCTGTGCACTCCTTGCTGCATTGAACTGCATATAGAACGTTGCTCAGCTAATGTTTGGGTGTTTTATCCTTAAGGTGAACCAGTTTTTGTCTCAGAGCGCTTCCAGGTCTGAAGTGTATCAAAATGTTGTGTTTGAAAACATCCATATGAGTTAAGGGATGGCAGTGTTCTACCTTTAAAGTCAGTGAGAACTGAAGGAGCTTCTGGGATAAGAGGTGAAACAGCTTCAAGAACCAAAAAAAGAGAAGTTTGTTTGCTGGATTTCCAAAACCTGGATGACTGAGAATCTATACAGACAACTAAGTCTCTAAGAAAATGTTTGTTTCACTAAGAAGATTTCATTTGTGAAGATGCAGCCTAAAGCTCCAGAAAAAAATGAATGTATGTATATTTCAAATCAAAATTAGTCAAAGTGCTATTTCCAAATTAAGACTGATAGGGGGTTTGATTTTTGAACTTGAAAACACTATCAAACTTGAAGTAACACTTCTAGAGAAGTTTGCCCAGTTGTCTCAGACTTGCAGATGTGTCTGTTTTGGGGTTCTTTAATCTTTAATCCCCTCCATGGCAGCTTAATGTTTAAAATGAAGGTTCATTCTGAGTTCCTTCTCTCATCTTGAAAACTGTCAAAGCTCCACCACAACCACTAAAAGGCTCTTGTGTTGAGACTGTTGTGTTGACCTTATCGAAAGGTTTTAAGAAAACATTCATGCTTTGCTTTCAGCTGGTTTACACAGAAGGCAGAAATAAACCTAAGAACCATATTAAGTATTTTCCATGCTAACATACTAGCACCAGAGCTATAGTTCCATCGTCCATAGTTCAAAAACCTGGAATGCTCCCTTAATGAGTTTTATTTCCATCCACGATTTCATTTCAACCCCTCTCTCTGCTCTCCCAAGGCGACGACACGATGACAGGCGATGGAGGAGAGTATTTGAGGGCCGAGGACCTCAGGGAGCTGGGCGATGACTCCCTGCCAGGACAGTATCTGGATGGAATGAACTACCTCCGCTTCAGCCTGGAGGGGGGACGCACCGACAGGTACATCACACCCTGTCACATGTTCAGCATACCGCAGCCACTATATTGAGCAATTAGAACAGTCTGATGGTGTTAAACTAAGGAATAGTGAGCAAAACTTTGTCTGGGTAAATAAAAAAAAGAATAATTTGGTGAATGGCCTAACCCAGAGTACGTCCATCTGCTCCACGCACTAACAAATGTCTTCTGCTCCATGGAGCAAACAATTGTTCCATATGCTCAATATACACTTTTAGAACACAGAGCACTTTCTTCTTTTCTAAAATAATATGCAACCCAGTTGTGTTTCTGTGTTGACCTGCTTCCTTTTTGACCCTTTTCCTGTCTAATCACTGACGTTTACTGTGGATGGTTGTTCTCACGTTGTCATGAATCGGTGTATGCACTTATTGATAAAACCTTTCCTCTTCACAACTAACTGCCTGTATTTGTATATGTGTGTGTGTGTGTCTGTGTGTCTTGCAACCTCTCTTCTTCATACTTCATCGTTGGTCTCCCTTGTCATGAATCCATAGTCGAATTCAAAGGTATGTGCTGACTCTGACCAGACATCTGGGCTTCTAAGTCTTCAGCACAACAGTTTAATTATCTCCTATTATATTCAGCATTTTCAATACGTAGAGTACTGAACTGTACAATATCCTTAAAATATCTATTATCTAAGTTTTGCTGTTGTTAGCATTACCGATGGTGTGGCATTAGGAACAGAAGCTTTCCGTCACTTATTCCAGGATTTTAATATAGATTGAAAGACATTTTGGAGGAATTGTCACAAGATTAGTGTGGACATTCCTCTTCCCTGCATCATTAAGTGCAAAAATCTAAATCATCCGGAATCTCTTTTCTGGCAGCTGTACCAATTTTTTTGATTTCTTTCACTTCCAATATGATCCGAGTCATGTAATACTTAGTATGTGCCAATATCTGATACCTTCATCCTAAATAATAGACATTTTAAGTACTCTAGATAAGCTTTAGATTTTGCCACAACATGGCGCCTCCTTCCTGTTTAAATAACAGAGAGCATAGTGGGAGTTTAGCTCGTAAAGGAGCACTGTGACAGAGACTGATATCATGCTTACTGATCTCAGGCCTGTGAACTTGTGTTAAATTAAGTTGGGGTAATCTAGAACCATGTTCTTACATCTCTGTGAAACATCCAGTAGTTGGTTGATTGGCTTTTTACATTTTTTCCACAAAGATGCAAACAAAAAAATTGGGTGTAGTTACAATTCTGTAAATGGTCATGATCACAATTTTCCAAGGACATCCCTAAGCTCAGATTTTAACCATGTTCACATGCAAATTTTCTGTTTATTTTAAAGCTCAATGGTTGCTAAACACTCAGAGCAGCACTTCCATTGGCATGTGTGAAAAGTATATGACAAGCCTAGACGTTGTTGGCGTTTTAGTTTGGCAGCGTTCCTGTGAGGTTGTAAAAGTAAAGACAACACTAATGTGAATCATAGTCGTTGTTTTGTCATCACTATTTTAAAAGGAGCAACACCCAACCCTCAACTCAACGCGTGTGCAATGAGTCCGCTCTTTTAATTAAATCAGTTTTCCGTAAGGAACGTTCATTCAAGTCATGAGCTCCGGCATCGGAAATGACTAACATCATTCGGTTTTGTCTATTGCTGGACATTAATCATTACTTGTGGAATAGATAATTAGCTTTAAAGAGTACTTTAAAACTAATTACCGAAGCACTCCTCATTAATTTCATAGCCTGCTGTGATTTGTGTTATTGTCCTGAGCTTCACTGGTTTCACTATTTCTTTATTTTTTTTTCTGCTGTGCTCCAGTTCAGACAGGTCCTTTACACCCACCCACCACAGCTACTACTCTCCTAAACATGAGGGCATGATGGATGAGATGCTCACCAGTCACCAGGTACAGTGCATGGTCACAGTGATCACTATGTGTGATTATGGACGTCGGAAAACACTGCTATGTGGAGATCTTGATTTCAGCGAGACATGTTCACACCATTAGAATTCGGCTTTACAAGTTAACCTGTAAACTGCAGAATATTTTATATGACATTTACTGTAAATTAGTAACAGAATGAACAGGTAGGTCGGATTTTTCTTTTTCAGAACCCTACTGACAAAACAAAAATCTGATTAGTTGGAAAACAGGAAATACAGATTGGGTCTTGGGCGTTCTGCCTTAAAACTGAGACCCAAACCTGACCTGTAGCCACATCTTGTAAACCCACCATGACTCAACCTAACTAATTCTGTTAAAGTGACAGCCATTGTGTGTTCCAAAATCATTACACATGGCTGAGATGTGGAACGCCCACTTCACTGACACCTTCCTCGATTGGTGGGATACAGCGGCAGACGCTTCAACCTAATGTTTAAATAGACTTCCAAGAGTTGATTATATGATCTAACTTCAATTAGAAGGACAAGAAAAATTGCACATCAATGGATATGCAAACTACAAGTAAAACAAGATGTAGTCACATGAACTCCTAAACACATTCAATTTCATTCAACTTGGAGAATCAGGTCTCAGCCTTAAATTTGCATCTTTTAAAGCCAGAACCTGCTGGAATCCCCAGAGAGAGATTTCAACACCAAGCGTTCTCAATGTTCTATAACCTTAATGTCGGTTAATCACTCAGCTTAAAACACTCGTCCTCCTAATTCACGACACAGTGAATACAATAATTATGATTTACTTGTTTGTCTCTATTGAGAGGTTGTTTGTTTGATTCCAGGTTTCGTCGCTTGCCAGGGAGAATGAGAGGGATTCCTACCGGCTGAGTTGGGGCACAGAAAACCTGGACAATGTGGCTTTATCCTCCAGCCCCATCCACTCTGGGTAGGTGCAGTCACACTGGAAGGGAAATACTGTTTGCAATGAACGGAAACACAACATCATGAAGACAAATGTGTAGCTGAAATGTACTAACAGTTGGAATAATGTATAGACTGACAAATTCATGAATACACATATACAATTATTGGATCCTTTTAGAGGTCCTGATGGGTGAGCTGTTTATATGTTTCAAGTATTTAATGTGTTTTTCAAATACAGCTGTTACTGGGAATACAGTAAACTGTACCTCTGCATATATACAGATATTTAGTTTGGTCTGACCTCTTATCAACTGTTTCTCATTCCTCTGATTGTCTGTTTTTTGGACAGCAGTGAATGATGACATAAAAAATGTTCAATTATATGTTTGATGATTACATAATGATATTACAAGGAATTATTATTGGTAATTTTCTATATACTCTATACAACATTAAAACACCACTTCAGAAGTCATTGCTGTTTTGTTTTGTGCAACCAGTAGATTAATTTTCTTTTAATCAACTAATCTGAAGCAGTAATAAAATATAGTATAAATGGTATAAATATCAATAAACTCTTTCACTAGGTCAGCAGGTCATATGCTTCTTTTATACTTTAAATTGTACTTTGTGTATTAAAAAAGGGCCAAAAAACATCTTAGATTTCACTTTCTGAACCCTGCAGAAACCATGTGTGTGTACACGACATACACAATGTTATTTAGTGAGCCTTAGAGGTGTGTAGGTGTGTTTTTAAGCATTGGACAGCTGTTTCCTTGTGCTTCCAGGTTTGAGATAAGATAGACTAAGCACATCCTGAATCCAGGTTTGGACTTACAGCACCGACATCGGACTGATGTCTATCTTCTAGGAAAATTCATTCAAAATGTTGCACTTTTAGTTTAAATAACAAGAATAAAACTCAGAAGTAACACACAGAAGTAACAGAAACTCTATTTTCATGCATTAATCGACAATCAATTCAAAATGTTTTTGTGGTTTCTGCAAAACAAAGTTCTGCATCTTTTACTTGCTTGGATTGTCTGACACTTGCTCTGATTTTCCTCTCTGGGTTTCTCTTTCCCTGAATTGTCTGATGTGGTTGCTGTTTCTTTAGCCATTCCTCTCCGTGCCCTGATCATGGAGACCACAGCAGGTGACCCTCTGCACCTTGGTTTAATCATTCTCCTCCTCATCATCACTCTGTTCCTCCCTTCACAGTGTGCTCTCCTGGCGGAGAGGTGTATGTGTCACCGTCCTCGACTGACACCGCCTCATCAGCTTATATCTGTTCTTAGGCCCACAATGAATCTACTCATTTGAATTTGAATGAAACTGTCTAAACTGGACACATGGACAAATCATGTGATGTCGCAAAGGTAAAGAAAAAAAGGCTTAAATTGTGTAAATCTGGGCAAAAAGAGGCGGTGAAAGTTGAGGACATGTTTGCTGATTTCATACAATGTCTTGTGAATTGTGCATTTCCACTAACATACCCACTGTTACCTTTGAGGAATGTTTTGGCTCAAGTATCATTGCATAAAATAAATATTTTTGCACCATACTGTGCTATATATTGGACACATAGGTGCATTTTGGAGGACAGCAGTGTTCTAACAGTTTATCCAGTTGTGCTTCTGAATTCAATAACAAGTACTTTACGCCTCTTGTGTGCTTTTAAAACCTTGTTGTTTGTGTAACTGAAGACAAGGCAAGATCACACCACACCTCCATGAGAACTGGGTATGGTATCATATTGTCACCTCATCACAGCCAATCTTTCCCCCATTGAGATGTGTGATCATGTGCACATTCACCACTCGGCATGGAGGCGGAGGTCCGTCAAGGCGTATGAAGTCAAGTTACTGAATGCAAAGATGTTGTTGTCCGTTCAGTGTTGAGAAAACAGACACCAAACTCATGTCTAATATGTCTGCATTGCTATATTTTTCAAGTAGACTTTATAGAAATAGTGATGCATATTGTTAACTTATTACACCTTAGCAGCTTTTTTATTGTTTTCACGAAACTCTTTCTTAAAACTAAGGCACGTCTAACTTTTATTCAACTACATAACATTAGGTTCACAGATTTCATTACCACAGTCTTAATGGTATGACCAATGGCATGTTGGGTAATGTTGCTGCTGCTGTAACATCACTGATCTGGTTTTGAGTTTTTATGACTCTTCTGTAGGTTTACTGTTACTTTACATACTAGCCTTTCTCATTATTTTGCCATTGCCTATTCTGGCAAGCAGAGAACATTGTGGGAGTTTAGCTAGTAAAGGAGCACTGTGACCAAGACAGGTATAAATTCAATTTAAATATAAGCCAAAACATATGAATACATTCACTCCATTAAGCTGGTGTCTTTAGCTTTATCTCATGTCAAATGGAAATATAGTAGTTTGTAGTTTATATTTAGTCCTTTATAGACAAAATAGTCTCCACTTAAGATCCGCTAACTAATTTGATCCGGAGCTTTCAACACTCTCACATTGTCTTCATTAGTAGACTGTAGATATCAAGCTTCTAATTTTTCTGAGCAGTTTGAAGACCTTTTGCCTATATCGACTCAAAATTGGATCTTGACTTCTTGATTTTGGAAACAACAGTTGACAAAACAGTACCTACTCAACTGCTTTTTCGCTGGTGAAGCTTTATTTTATGGCTCAAAACAAATGAACAAACCTTAACTTAACCTTTCAGCTCTTTGTAGGTTAAAATGTCTAAACTCAACATGAGAACTATTTGCTCGAAGTGTTGGGTACAAATAACCTTGGTGTCTATGTTCTCATCACTGAATGGGCTCCATAATATACGTCTGTAACTTGGGCAAACATCTCCTGTTCCACCTCAGCTTCCTGGTCAGCTTCATGGTGGATGCCAGGGGCGGAGCCATGCGCGGTTGCCGGCACAACGGCCTCCGCATCATCATCCCACCGAGGAAGTGCAGCGCGCCAACACGGGTGACTTGCCGGCTGGTGAAGAGGCATCGTTTGGCCACCATGCCCCCGATGGTGGAGGGCGAGGGCCTGGCCAGCAGGCTCATCGAAGTGGGGCCCTCTGGAGCTCAGTTCCTCGGGTAAGTCTCTGGAGACAGATGGTCAGTTAGAAGTTAGTGAATGTAGAGAGAAATAGAAAAAACAAACTACACAAAGATGTAGCTTCATTTCAGTACGAGCTAGTGGTGGTTTCAAAAACAAACAAATGCTGGCACCTTTACGTTTTCACTTTTTTGCAATCTTTGGATATTGTATTGCACAAACATGTGGAATTAGATAGAAAAGTGTTCTGATATGGTAAAGATGCAACTCTTGAGTAAAGAAGAATGACTGATTGAAGTATTTTATCAGATACGAAGGAGCGATACCACTCTTATATGCAGCCTGATCTGTTTCCTTTCTCATGAGAAGCTTACAACTTGCTGCCCTTTTTTTCTTTCAGATTAATTTCCCCCCAGCCTCTGCCTTACTAAAACTGTTTCTGTATCTGCTCTTGCTTTCTCCCAGTGCCAGGGGTCTGCCAGTCTTTTGCTCTTCAGCATGCCCTGTTTTCTTTCATAACAGCTGCAGTCTAACTCTGATCCCTAACCCTTTAATGAAACTGCTTTTCTTATTAACTCCACCTCCAGTATATTGCACCATGATTGGTTTGATATGTGGCCTCGAATTCTGCCCCCCGCTGGTAATGTTTGACTATGTGTAGACTTAAAACATTCAGGTTATGGGTATGAGTTTTCCACGATATCTGTAATTCCAGTTTTGGCCTTACGTTCCACTGATACATTATTTCCACTATTTGTTTACTGCTGACGAGATTCTCTTTGGGCAAATCTACTGATTTATGCTGTTTTGATTCTTATGTTTATGTGAAATGTCTGATGACCAACCCCGCTCTGCATTAACATGATCTGTCTTGCTTATGGTTTGCCATGGAAGTGATGACCTTGTTAACAACATGTAAGAAACTTTAAAAACACTTGCACATAGAGCCAAAGTAATATATATAATTTAAATGCATTTGAAATAATAGATCCAAATGTGTATATGTATTTATTGAAATAATTATGTGAAAAAAATACAGATAAAATATTCAAAATAGAAACAGTCATATCTGTGTTTTAATCTTTAATTTATTTAAGGTCATTTCAATTTAAAATTTAAACTTGCAGTTTTTATTTTGGACTATTTTATATCACGATAGCAGTGGTTTGCTACATATTTAGGCCAAACAACAATCACATTCCACTTATTTTGAAATAAAAATGTCAGTCTCCTTTATAGGGAAGGAAATGACATTTCATTCTGACATGCTATGAAGACGAAAAATATTAAATTATTTCACCATTCATGGTCATATAATGTATTTGTATGTATTTACTCATTAGATCATTTATGTCTTAATGTAACGTTTATGTAATTTTTGCACACTCGTAGTAGCTAGAATGAACCACAGGGTCTCTATTTTTACACCCAACCAAAACAATTTTGTGTGCTCTCTCTTCCTCACTGCTGCGTTTGGACGTTTGGTTGATCACACAGTAAACTTCACCTCCCCAGTGCCCCTCCACCTCTTAATGAAGGGGAGAGTCTGGTTAGCAGAATCCTCCAGCTTGGCCCGCCGGGGACAAAATTCCTTGGGTAGGGTGGAAAACAAAATCTACGGTTTTGCATATGAAACAATCCATGGATGCCGGTCTCAGTATTTGTCTTCACAAACCCTTCCATTTGATTTATTTATTTGTTGGCCCATACGTTATTTTTGTGGTCATGCTTGCACTAGTGTCCCATACAGCACTTCATCTGGTTCCCATACACATTACTCTCTTCATTGACTCTCCCTACTGCTTTGCCTTTCCCCGTTCTATGTTTATATGCTTATGCTTCCTGTCTTCTTATTAAATGTGTGTTAGAAGAAGATCTTTCATTCATTTTTATGTGAAATTTAAACAGTTGTGTGGCCTGTAAATAGCTACAGAAGCAGGTGAGATTTGACTGGATGGTTCCGTTGTTCTCTTCCTGTCAAATCGACTAACCAGCTATTGATACAGCTAATTGTAAGTCATAATTTGGAAATTCTGGAAAGTCGTGCATGATGAGCTATAGTAACTTTACAAATGACAGACATCACTAAGCTTAAATACATTAAATGTTGTGCTATATTTTCACCAACTGAGCCAAAATTGGTCTGAAGTTGTGCCTAATGACACAGTCGCATTGTATAAATTCTAGATTTTGAAGTTAATGTACGAGTGGAAATATGATCGTGTTGTTTCAGGCCAAAGAAACCGTCTAAATATCACATGAAAATATCAACAGTTCTGCTTTGATAGCTGTGTTTTTCTCATGTTGGACTGTACTTGCAGCATGCTTCTTCTAGATATGTTTTGTAGCTAGCTTGTGATTATGTACATCAGGTAAGTATTAAAGCAACACTTTAAGTATTAAATATAGACACCGATAAGTGACATGTTGTGATAATATGAAAACTGGGTTGGACAACGGGACAAAAACATACATTACAAACAACTTCTTAATTAATTTCTGGCTCTAGTTTCCTCTACCATGATTGAAACACATTTTAAAAAAGCATCTCAATGCATCTTTACTTGTGGTTTGCTGTTTAAATTGTCTTTTAAATGTGCTGACTGATCCAAGCTAGCAGCTCACGATACAACTGTATAGATCTATGAACAGTAGAATTACACCAAACCTACAGGGTTCCTGCTGCCTGGGCTTTTTTGATTGTCTAAAGCAGTGCTCTGCCACATTAGGTGCATCGCGCTGTAGCAAAACTGCTTTTACCGATTGCTGTTTCTATCACCATCATTGCTGCATAATACATTGGCCTCAAACCTGAATAGGCAATATACCATTCATTTGTTTGCTAAGGTGGGTGGGTGCTTCTTTAACTATTACTTTAGATACTGACAGAAACAGCTGAACTGTAGTGTTTTGGAAAGATACGAATATCTAAAGTTGACCAGGAACAATAATCTCGACCAAGAAGAGTCCAAATAACTTACACAAAATTAAAGATCTTGCAGAACTCAAGTACGACAGCCCCACCAAATGCACACTTATATCTCCAAACACAACTCATAGACACACTGTGCATCCTCCATCACATCATGTACTTACATAGCTGCCCTCTACCCCTCCAGTCCTGTGATCGTGGAGATCCCCCACTTTGCCGCCCTCCGGGGGAAGGAGAGGGAGCTGGTGATCCTGAGGAGTGAGACAGGAGAGAGCTGGAAGGAGCATCACTGTGAACACACCCAGGAGGAACTCAACCAGATCCTCAACGGCATGGACGAGGGTCAGTATCCAATGGCGTACCAGTGGACCGCACTATGAGTTGAGCAAAAACCGTATTGGCTCTAACAGACATTTTCTACCGTCTTCCAGAACTGGACACGCCCGAGGAGCTGGACAGGAAACGCATTTGCCGTATCATCACCAGAGACTTCCCACAATACTTTGCGGTGGTGTCTCGCATCAAGCAAGACAGTAATCTGATTGGTCCTGAAGGAGGCATCCTGAGCAGCACAGTTGTGCCACAAGTACAGGCAGTTTTTCCTGAGGGGGCCCTCACCAAGAGGATCAGGGTCGGACTGCAGGTAACTGGAAAGCATTAATACTCTCTCACAGTAAATTTGCGCAGAAACCTTTTGCCAAAACAGCATTAAAGAAAAGTCAATAGATTACCAAAGATTTTGGAATTCGCTGTCTAGAAGTTGAATATACTCGAGTCCATTGGTGAAAGTTTTGATCTGTAGGTGGTATTGAAAAGTCAGAAAAGGATCAGCAAAGACATTTTGGATTATATACAAAAACTAAAGTTGTTGTGTACTCTGTCTACTCTCATAGGCCCAGCCAGTGAATGTAGATGTTGTGAGGAAGATCCTGGGGAACAAAGCCACCTTCAGCCCCATCGTCACCCTGGAGCCCCGTAGGAGAAAGTTCCATAAACCCATCACCATGACCATTCCTGTCCCCAAGAGCAACTCCGATCCAGTCCTCAATGGTTTTGGAGGGGACACACCCACCTTACGACTGCTCTGTAGTATCACTGGTTAGAGAACACACACAAATATACACACTAATCTGAACAGGCCAAAGGAAGGCACATGCTCACATATAAGCCTTTCAATGTTTCTGTCATCGTGCAGGTGGAACAACGCCAGCCCAGTGGGAGGATATAACAGGAACTACTCCATTAACATTTATCAATGACTGCGTCTCCTTTACTACCAACGTGTCTGCCAGGTAAAAGAGTTTGTTGATTTACGTACAACAGAAGTGAGTACACTCCTGTGCAATGTCATTTAAATATCAAATGATTAAAAATTGTATCATCTCTAAATAAGTGCATCACTTCTAAGTTGACAAGTCGAGTATTTCCTCCTGTAAACCGTCAAAAACAAATTCTTTAGAAAGGTTAAATTGAAAGTACAGGCCCCGAAGTTGAAACTCGCAACACAAGTGAATACACCTGTGATCACTGATACAGAAGTTAAAAAAACTTAGTTAGAACCATGAGCTGGCCAAGTATGTTGCCTGATTTGAATCCCACTTAGGGACACAATTTTGAATCATTGGTGTTGCACATGGGGTGTACTCATTTCTGTTGTCTGCTATGAGAAAATACCTGCTAACTTAAATATAAGTTTTGCAGTCACTAAACACCTTACCTTAACTGTGCTGTCTCATACACCTCTGATTTCTAGGTTCTGGCTCATAGACTGTCGGCAAGTCCAGGAGTCAGTCAACTTCTCCACTCAGGTGTACCGAGAGATCATCTGTGTCCCGTACATGGCCAAGTTCGTAATCTTTGCCAAGACCCATGACCCAATCGAGGCCCGTCTGCGCTGCTTCTGCATGACTGACGACAAGATCGATAAAACACTGGAACAGCAGGAGAACTTCACTGAGGTGGCCCGCAGCCGAGACGTAGAGGTGAGAGAGGAGAGTTGAAGAGGACTGCCAGGAACTACTAATTACATACCCAGTTAGCGCAAGACTTATGATGTGTAGTTGTCTTCACTTTTAAAACACAACATCTGCATTTTGTACAAACTAAATGCAAAGAACTGTTACTTAACTCTGTATACAATGAGCTCTCTATACATGAAAATCACCAACACAAGGAAAGGAATTTAAGTTGTCCAAGTTGAAGGATAGATGTGGATAGATGATGGAAGACTGTTGTGACTTGTTTGTCAATTCCGAAACCACTGTCAAGGATTACACATACGTTTCTGGCTGCAGATCCTGTATTTGCAGACAAGAATTTCTATGTAGCATGTTAGTTAATGGAGTTTTGAGGACAGTGTGTGTTTACCCCCTAGTAATTAATCTAGTGGAAGCTTACATGACAACTAAAGAGAGCCCATGATGGATCCTTGGAGAACACCACAAGTCAAGATCAGTGTTGTAAAAGAAGCGTTACAGACGACTACTTTTGTTTGAGAATATGATTTCCACTGGTGTAAGGCTGTTCGCCTGAACCAAGTGTGAACAATTGAGATTGCATTGAAGTGTTTTTCTTTTTTTTTTAGGTCCTGGAAGGCAAACCTATCTATGCAGACTGCTTTGGCAACCTTGTTCCCCTCACCAAAAGTGGCCAACATCATCTCTTCAGCTTCTTTGCCTTTAAGGAGAACAGACTAGCACTCTTTATCAAAGTGAGCAGCATTTTTTACATTTGTTTATTTGAAGCAAGCACCGTTTTTATATGTAAGCGTAGTGTTACAAGAGTCAGGAATAGTTCATCACACTCTTACTGCATATAAGGTTGATTCCCTTTACTCATGACCTCCTGACTAATTTATTGCTTGGCTTTTGTAGATCCGAGACAACACTCAGGAGCCGTGTGGCCGCCTGTCGTTTATGAAAGAACCCAGGAACTACAGGTCACTTACCCAAAATGCCATATGCAATCTCAACATCACCCTCCCATCATACTGCAAGGTAAGGACATTGCACAGGGGTCGCTCTCTGTTGTGTATCTTCTTGGTTCTCATGAGGAGAACTGGCTTTTTGGCATCTGTAGTTTAACACAGAAAGCACTGTAATTAAAAGCTGTGGTTGCTTGTAACGCTGGACAACGCTTTAATCTTGAGCTTGTCTCCTCTGCACCTCTATAATACGAACTAATCTCCCTTTTATCAGCTGCTATATTATTCCAGAATGTAACCCCAATAACTTCAATGTTCTCAAAAATAATTTTTTAGTTTTATGATGAATGTTTGAAATTTCAACGAGCTGATCGTGCCAATGCTACAAGCAGCCAACAATATTGCTATATGGTGATGGTTGCATCTTCACTTCAAGGGTGCTCTAGGCAACTCTGCTGATGGCCAGATCAGAAGAAATCTAAAAATATCTGACAGCATCCAGCTAGTCTGTGGTGTTATACCAAAGTGTCAAGAGACAAGACTGTTTTTTTTTTCTACATCTAAAGTCTTTGCCTAGTCTAACTTTGTCTTCCCCTAAAATCACACTGGCTGTTGTCTTTGTTGCTATGGTAACCACACATTTCCCCCCCCCTGTCTTTTTTTCTCCCTTTTAATGTTGCTGTTGTTTCTATCTGTACATCTCTCTGCTTCTTGCTGCTTCTTGCTCCCAAAAGGAGTCCGATTCAGACCAAGAGCAAGAGGAAGAGGTAAACGCAGCCCCCGCTTCCCACTTCCCCCTCCGTCCCATTAGCTCTGCTGATCTATCCTGTCTACTGTCTGACCGTCAGGACTAAACATAAGACATGTATATGGTAGATGTAATTTACCGTAGTAGATTAGATTGGGATTTGTCAGTGACATAGTTCTTTTTTTCTGTTAAGTGTGCCCTTTGTGTTTGTTTTCCTAAATTAGCAGTTGTAATATTACTAGTAGTTTTAGACAAACAGCAGTTGAAAGAAACTAACTGTGATGCATTTTCCATTTTCTTTTTCAGACCAGCAGAACACTCGAGAAATGTAAGACATTTTTTTCCTGTTTTTTCTGTATAACTTCTACTAAAATTGTTGCTAATCTCTAATCATATTGCATGTCTTTATGAGTCCAGTTACATAGCTGTAGAACTGATGCTGTGTGAGTGATAATCTAGTCAAAGAGTATGCAGAGGAATAATCAGACTAATACACTTCGCCATCCGCTTAATCGCCGACCATTTGCATTTTTGAATCAAAGTCCTTTAAGTTTCATATATTTTTGTCTTGTCACACAAACGAGAAGGCTTTACCTGCACCTCCCCATGTCAATGTTCTGTTTCTCCTGAGGCTTAACTTCACTTTTTTTTACTTTCTTTTACTTTTCTTTCTGATTTCACACCTGCATCATTTTCTTCACTTTAACTCTTTCACCTTCACAATTTGAGATCGGACATACGAAGAACGGGTTAAACACTGCCATCTGCGTATGTACAGAAATATTCAACTCGTTCATATTGTGGTGATGTATATGCGATGGCCTCTAATTTTCGTGCTTGCCTAAAAGTCGGTCAGTAGAGCTAGCGCGGTCACAGTGTCATTAGGGTTGCTGGTTTGGTTGTGCTTGGACATTTATTTGCTCCGAACAAACCCGTTTGTATTGAGGCGGGTGAATTGAACTGGTGTTTATGCAGCTCAAGCCTATTTTGAGGTTTGCCTCTTTCACTTTAATGTGTATTTCTAGGTACAGACTATAATGCACACCAAAAATGCAACTTTTAATGGCATTAGGACTGAACTCTTAACAGTTAAGCCATTCGCAACTGCTTGTGTGTAGTTAAATAAGTGTAGCCATCGTCAGCTGCGATAAAGGAATGAGTGAAGGAGATAAGAGGAACTGATGTGAGGAGTCCTAACTGGACTCCACCTGCTGATAGTTCCTTCCTCATCCTAATAATGCGTTCACCCTGTGGCCAGTCACTTTTTGCCACAGTGTTGGCACCTGTGGTCACCAAAATTCCAAAACTTTTTTGTTCACCCACTCCAAGCTCCTGAAACTAAATGCTGTAGCTTGTGCAAGCACCTAGTACCTGGAAATTAGAGGCCATGACGTTAGTATTATTCTAGCTGTGGTATTTAGTGTAGTGATAAAGCAAAACGTAGTCAACCTCCTCATTGACTCTGAATCCTTCCCCTTTTACCCTCCATGCCTTGTTCATGTAGTAAATGTGAAAATTTAGAGTTTACATAATACATATTTGAGCATTTAAATGTGCCTCATAGTAACAGTATGTTACAGGCTGAAATCTCATGTGTTTTTAAAAGAAATTGCATATTGATGATAGGAAAAGTCGTGTAGATGAACTCACCACATTAGTGAATGGGGACAAGCAGCTCGAGCAGCTTTTGATCATCAGCATCTCTTCTCCTTAAATTGCTGATTTAATCAGGACGATTAACTTTCTGATCACTCCATTCTTTCTTATCCAAGACCTCTCCATCAGCACTTCCCTTTGCTTTGCATGGAAATAACTTGCCTTACATTAATGTGTATGCGTGTGCTTGTTTGTATGTCTGTTTGATTACATGTATTGTCCTGCTAATGAGACTTCATTCGTTCCTTAGTTCTTTATTTTTTTTTAAATGTTCTCTCACGACACCATTTGCTCATGGTTTTGTGCACTGTTTTTCGTGTTGATTCAAGGTTTCATTTCAATTACATTTTAAAGTCCTAGTCAGGCTAAAAGCAGAATGAAGGGCAAAGGGAATTGGTAGCATTCCTAAGATCCTCATTCCTTCTTTGATTTGGTGAAATTGAAGTATCTAATTTGCATTAGAATTAAAAGCATGGCAAATCATCATATGTTGTTTTAGTTATCACTGGCTTTCTTTGATAGATGCAGCATTCTCAGTTGTTTTCAAGCCATTTTTGCCTATCATCACATTGACATTTGTCATACATCTGAGCAATCTTGAGATGTCTTGATGTTGTTTCTGTTTCATTTGTTGTTCCTTTTGCTGTTGTACCTATTGGTTGCTTGGTCACCTGGTCTCATTCATAGTTGGTATAGTTTTCATGTGTATTTTAGTTGTGCTCTATAGCTTTGTCATGTGAGTGTGCGTGTGAGTGTATAAGCAAGTTATTTCCTGCGCATATTATTTCCCATTGGTATTATTTGCCTCACCACAGCTCCCCAGAGACAAATGAAAGTTTAAGCCCTATTCCTCTGATACCCTGATGTAGAACCCATTGTGAATTTGTTGTCCTATGATCCCTGCAGTGTGCTCCAATCTTGTCCTGACCACATTCTCCAATGTCTGTCTCCTTTCATTTGAATTTTTGATTTTCTTTACTCCTTACTTGTTCTTCTTCCATATGGAAGATGAAGAGACGGAGACATCAGTGCTGAAATCAGAGCTGATTCGAGAACCAGACCTCCTATCCGACGTGTCAGAGATGAAACAAGATTTGATCAAAATGACTGCCATCTTGACTGCAGACTCCGCAGACAAATCCCCTTCCCTAGGAGGGTGTGGTCTAGAGAAAGGGACTGAGGAAGTTTCTGGAGAACCGTTAGAAATAATGGAGAAGGACTTAGAGAAAGTCAAAGAGGACCTAGAGAAAGTCAGTGAGATACTGAGGAGTGGAACATATGAGGGTGAAGCGGCAGAGAAGGCAGCAAAAGCAGCTAGAATGGCTGAGGAGTGGGTTCTCCTCTCAGACAGCGAGATAGAAGAGGCCAAAAAGATGGCAGCCTTAGAAATTCAAGAGCCTGTCTTACGTGAAAGTAGAGCTAACAGAGGGGCTCCCAGACCTAAAGCCATAAAGGACAGTGGTGACCTTAAAGAATACCTCCTGGATGCACCAGTAAGCTCCAAAGCAAAAGCTAAGAAAGAGACAGGTGCCCAAGAAAAATTCACCGATGTTGTACTACGCAAAAGTGCAAAACCAACCACTCCAACCAAAGCGCATGACAAAACCACCACTGGTGATGTTAAAAAGCCAGTGAGAAGGAAGGGGAAAGACCAGGGGCAGGCAGAGGAATCAACAGAGGCAGGGGCTCTTCTAAGTGTGCCTACAGCCCCTGCCCCAACATCACCTGTATCCCCAGTGATTGAGGAAACTCCCATTGGGTCAATAAAGGACAAAGTCAAAGCCTTACAACAAAAAGTGGAGGCAGAGCAAAAGAGCAAAAAGGTCACTGGGAGCAAGCCTTCACATTTGCCTGTTGCGAGCAAACCTTCTCCAAAAGCCAAAGAAAGCCCTAAATCAAAACAGGGCCCCCCCAAATCCCCTAAAGCTGACTCTGAAAAACTTGAGGAGACCATGTCAGTTAAAGAGCTGATGCAAGCATTCCAAACGGGGCAGGACCCCTCAAAGAGAAAGTCTGGGCTGTTTGAGCTCAAAACATCCTCCACGTCAAGATCAGAGAAAACCACAAAATCCGAAACCGTCCAGTCAAAATCTATGACCAAAGCAATAACCTCACGTGTCTCTCAACAGCGAGAAGTATCGTTGGATTCCAAACCTCACAAGAAAGACACCGCCCAGAAAGACAAACAGAAAGACAAACAGAAAGAAACCAAGTCAGTTGATGCTGCCCATTCAGAGCTAACTGAAACTGTAGACTTTGGAAATGGTGGCCTTGATGATAGCTCTGACAGCTTAAAACACGAGGGTGTGGCAGACTCACTAAGTGCCAGTTCTGGGGATGGAACCCCTCATCTGAGCTCTGAGGACAGTTACAAACACGAGGGACTAGCCACTCCAGGCACAAGCCCTGAAAGTCTGAGTCTTTCTCCCAAAACTGGACAGCAGACCTCTTCAACTTCGGCACCAGCTGCCACAGGAGTCAAAAAAGAAAGTAAAGACACAGAGAAGTCTGGAGACTCTGGTGTAGGGACCACTGGTGACCAACTGTCTACAGAATTGACCCTCCCTGTCTCTTCCAGCGAGGCTGCAGATGACCACACTACAAGTGAGTCAATGTCTGTTAAGAGGAGTGAGTCTAAGCCATCTAAACCCCGAAAGCTTACAAAAAGAATTTCAGAGACTGTAGAAACTTTTCTTAGCGATGATGAAAGCCCTGATCATCAGCTAGAATTGCCTTTAGTTGGTTCTCCAGGCTCTAGATTCTCTTCTCAGCGTCATGACAGCTTAGACTTGCCTTTAAAACAAGACTCAGATGCTCTCAGTCCATTAGGTGATGACTCTTTGACAATAAGCCACAGAGACTCTCTAGAAGGTAGTCCTCTCATGGAAGAAAATTCCTCCCATAAATCCCCAGACTCTATTGAACCCAGCCCAACCAAGGAATCACCCCCTCATGACTCCTTAGAGAGCAGTCCTGTAGAGCAAAAAAGCCACCCATCCTTCCCATCAATACTAGGCCCACCTAGTAAATCCTCTAGCCATCCAGAGCCCTCCAAAGCTGCAGAATTCCCCCAAGATGCTTTGCGTGGTAGGCTGCTTCGAGACCATGAGGCTAGTGCTGATGATGACAGTTGCGAGCAGACATCTCAGATGACAAGTTCGGGTAAGAGTCCCCTCTCCCCTGATACTCCTAGTTCTGAAGAGGTAAGTTATGAGGTTAATCCCAAACCCCCTGACCATGCATTCCTCTCTGTTTCACTCAAACCGGCTGTCATCCCTGAAGACCCAGAAGAAGAGGATACATCAGACAGCTATGAAGCTAAGAGAAAAATCACTCCAGAGGAGGAGATGTTTAAGATGGCAGCCAAAATAAAAACATTTGATGAAATGGAACAAGACGCGAAGAGCAAAAAGAAGTCTAGAAAAGATTTGTGTCCTTCAGCAGATGCCAAAATAGGGGATGACAGCTATGACACATTAGAGCTCACAAGTGAGAAGCTTTCTCAAAGTGAATGCGAGCTCAGTAGACCCACAGAAGATTCAAAGTTAGCTCTTTTTGTTGATCCCCATAATAAAGTACAACCTTACTCTCCTTTTTCAGCAGGTTTGCATGATGGATCCCACAGCAAAGAGATCAAGAACACATCAGCCAGTATAACTTCAGAGGGACCTCACTCTGTCTCAGACCAGCATCATTCAAAATCACAGCTGAAAACCACACAGGAAGAAAGAGTCCCCACGTCTGCAAAAGCTGATAAAGACACTAGTGCCAAAAAGGCGTCAACATCAAACGCTGAAAACAGGACCGATGAGCAAAAGGAAGAGAGCTTAAGGAAATCGAGGGAAACTAAAGGCAATGATCAGGATGGTCGTGAGTTAGGTGGTGGCAGGCCACAGACTGGTACGCACAAAACTGGTAGCAATGTAACAGATGAAGTAAAAGGAGATCAAAGGGGGCATGCAGGAACATCAGAACCTGAACTCAGCACAACTGCTGCCACAGGTCAAAAAAAGGAAACGTTCAAACCAGAGGTCTGTATTTATGATGACACAGAAGAGGATGATGAGACAGTGGAACCTCCCAAAACCGAGTCAAAAGGTGTAACCGCAAAAGTAGAGACCGATTCGTGGTCTGCCATGCGGGAGGATGACGCTACTTTTGCAGCTCGTGTAAAAGAGGAAGAACAGAAGATACTGAATCTAGCGGTCGACCGTCAGTCTCTGCAAGCTACGCCAGACACCACACCTGGCAGAACACCAACAGAAGAGAGTACACCAACCAGTGAGCCCAATCCTTTTCTTTTCCAAGAAGGGAAGCTCTTTGAGATGACCCGAAGCGGTGCTATCGACATGACTAAGAGAAGCTATGAGGAAGAAGGGGGTGGCTTTGCCTTTTTCCAGATAGGCGAACAGCCTTTAGAGGAGCCTGTCTTAGAAGAGATCAAACAAGAAAGTACAAGTTCAGCAGCAGAACCCGACATTGGCCTCAATCTAACACTAGAGGTTAAGAATGAGGAAGATGAAAAATCTAAAGAAACAACTGATTCTCAGCTTCAGTCCCCAACTGAAGGCGATAAGCCAGGTTCCAAAGCTGATGCCTCCAAATCTAAAATCCCTAAGATGGGCATTTCAGCTTCAGCCAAACCTTCAAAGAAAGAGCAGACATCACCTGAACTTTTGGAGACTAAAACAGACAAAAGTGTGAATGAAGGATCCCTAGATTTAGAGACAAGTTCCCCTGACCAAATGATAACAAATGTACAGACAGCAGAAACAACTGTCACTAGATCAGTTTACTCTGAACAGGGGCAAGAGTCCTCTGATTCCTCTCCAGAGGAGCCTCAGTCAGTGATAGAAACCCCGAAAACAACAGGCAAGTCCAAGCAAAACACTTCCAGTAGTGTTAAAAAGACTCCAGTCAAAGCACAAGCTAAGTCTACTCCTCAAGGTCGGGCTAAATCTTCAATTCCTTCTCCATCTAATGCATCTTCCTCTTCCACCACTCTTAAAAAGGAGGTCTCTTCATCCACTCCTAAAAAAGAGGTCTCTTCCACCACCCTTAAAAAAGAGCCCTCCTTCACCTCTGAATCTAAATCTAGAATCCCTATCAAGGCTAGCCCTGTCAAGTCTGATTCTACTGCCAAACGGGCTGAATCTACCCAAGACAGAAAGCTTAAGGTCCCTGTAAAAAAGGATACAAGGAGAAAATCTGAGACAGATGCAGGTCCCTCTGTGGATGTCAAAACCAAGACATCGTCTTCCAAAGCGAAGAGCTTCTGTGAAGGGGAGTCCACCAAGTCACCTACTAAAAAAGAACAGGGTCGTCCCTTGAGTGCCGAGTCAGCGAAATCTAAAGGCTTCCAATCCAGATTGCCAGTCCGGGGCAAAAGCGGTCAGTCATCTCAGTCAACAACACCCACTAAAGAGAAAAGTGAGCCACACAAGCAGTCCATTGAGTTCTTTGAAGAGATAAGTGATGAAGCAGCAAAACTTGTGGCAAGGTTGGCACAGGCAGAGGCAGAGACAGAGAAAGAGCAAGAATCTGTAGCTGCTATCTCAGATGATGAGAGCAGTCTCATTGATCCATCAATCATAGAAAGAGAAACTTTCCCAGAGATGCAGTTCCCTCCCTCAGGAGACGTCTTTCCCATTAGACCACTGTGGGACGACCCTGTTGAGACACAGATGCAGCGAATCCCAGATGATAAAGTCCAAAGTCAAGGTATCCCCCCAGTTTAAGGGGCTATTCTATATCTCTTGTGCCTCATTAGTACACTAGCTGTAAAGGTGCTGCCTCTCTGTCTCTTGTAGTTATGTCCCGTTGTAGTTGAAGAACCCATGTTGCTGTGTTGCTTGAGCTATGTTTGTGTTTGTAATGACATCTCTCCTTCTATGTGTGCTGTAAATCTCAAGATTGACTTAAAGGCTTTATGGAACTTTTGAAAACAACTCAGTAGCAAAACACTTTAAAGCTTAAAATGTGAAGGATTGTGTTAAAAATCACGTGTACTGTCAACAAGGATTAAAAGTTAATTTCTCAATCATAAAGTCACTACATGATGTATCATGAACTGCTCTTTACAGACATATTGTGTACTATGTAGGTTCCAATTCCTAAACTAACGATATTTATTGGTTAACCAAACAATCCGTAGGACAAAAACGAGAAAGCCAGTGAAGATTTTTATTTTTTTTTCAATACCATTTGTGAATGTGAATTAATTTGGCATACCTTGCGGCTCTGACCGCTCATGGCTGTCTGGTGGTATTTGCAGTAGATCCACAGGATGAAGCAGAAAGAAAAGAGCAACGGTTGGCCATTATAGCCGACCACCTGGGCTTCAGCTGGACGGGTGAGTCACACTGAACAGCACTGACTGAACTGTACATTATTACTTCATGTTTTTGCAAGCACATACTGACACCAGACACTTGAGATTCATTTTCGGATCATTACAATCTTTACTACATCGTCTTTTTCCCCACAGAGTTAGCACGAGAACTGGACTTCAGTGAGGAGAGAATCAACCTGATAAGGATTGAAAACCCCAACTCACTGCAAGATCAAAGTCATGCCCTTTTGAACCTTTGGGCAGAGAAGGAGGGAAAGCAGGCCACAGGTCAGTAATAAATACCTTTATGATAAACATTTTTAAGAATTATTGCTTTTCAAACAAAGTAGAAACCATGCCATTTTAAAGTGAAATTGTTAAATTTGTTTTCTGTTTCCACAGAAGCAACACTTATCAAAAGGCTCACAAAGATCAACCGAATGGACATTGTTCACCTCATTGAAACCAAGATAATTAAATCCACTCAAGATGAGACGTCATCGCATACCTATGCAGAAATTGAGCGGACCATAACGTTGGACCACAGTGAAGGTAGAAGAGCCAGCGTTAACAAAAGGCAGACTGATTATTCAGCTGATTGTTTCAGTCACATGAATTAACACTTCCTGTATTTTGTGTGTTCGCTGTTTGCCCGCTCAGGTTTTTCTGCTCTTCATGAGGACATTGACAGCCCCAGACCAGGCAGGCGTACAGAAGCTGCACGCAGGAGTCCAGGCTCAGGACAAGAGGTACCCATGGTGTCAGCAGAGGACCTGTCCTCCAGTTTGTCATCACTTCACGAGACGACAGGACGATCAGAGACAGACTCCACAGCAACAGGCCTTCTCAGAAATGCCCAGAAAGAGAAACTACAAAAGGAGATGGAAACAACATAGTGAGTTACTCAAAAAGTTCCCCAAACTGCCTTTGTAACTTTGTTTCTTTTTCAATCATGATTATTGAACCCTAGTTTGCCGAACAAGCTGCCAAACAAATATCCCCCAAGGTAAAAAGGAAAAATGTGCACAGTGTTCAATAACATACCAGCACATGTCTATAATGGTTAGTTTATATACTTGATGGTGTAGTCTTTCAGTAACAACTAATTTGAAAACCACTTTGACACAGATTTTTAACGACAATATGAAGGAATACTCCAAAGATATGAAGGACTTACCAGAGCTGAGATCCTTTTTTTTTTTTATCAGTCATTCACCTCAATGATTAAAAATTAATTTCTTCTTTTTTTTTTTTGCAGCTCATCACAAAGAATATATGAAGAAGTGACAGATTCGGTACACGCAGGCAGTTTTAAACAAGTAAGTCCTTTCTTCACATTGTACCGCACCTCTCCCTACAATCTCCGATCCCATGTGATAGATCCTGTGTACAAAGGGGCACCCAAGTTATGTGCCCAGATTACCCCACCTCCCATTTCCACTCTTGAACCATGTGATGACGAAGGGCCTCCTGAATGTGAGGGGGCAGAAGGGGGAGAGGATTGGAGCTTGGAGTGTCTACAAACCACCCCTTCTGGACACAGCACTCATTATTTATCCCCGTCGCCTTGGCGAGAGACGTTCAATAGCTCTCGAACAGGAATATGTGAAAGTCGACCGTTGTCTATGACTGATTTTGGAGACAGCTTGATTGAGGGGGAGCAAGCTGAGCAAGACTTCAGGAAACTGTCTATGGAGCTTACAGGATCTGATGAGGTCCCTGAAAAACCTACAAGTGAACATGTGCTTCAGCCCATTCAGGAAATTTCCGTGCCTCCTGGCGTGACAACAGAAACCACACTTTCCAAACAAATGGCAACAGGACACATGGATGAAGTTTCACGTCGACTTTATAAAGTCCTGTATGGATATGATGATGATCTGATGGATAGTGAGGATGTGTCAGGATTGCCTATGACCTTGTCTCCTGATGTTGCAGATCAAGAAGTCGGGAAAGATGAGGTTCAGGGAGCTGCCAGCTGCATAAAGGCAGATGAAGGTGTTTTAAACTCTGTGGGTGAAGTTGATGTTTACCAGGCCTCAATATCAGATGATCTTGATGTCAAAGCAATTCATGGCATTAACCAAACTGAGAGTACAACCGCTCAGACTTCAGCTGATTCTTCCGTTATGAGCCATAAAATTCCAGATTTAATGTCTCAAAACCCAGAATTCATTACCTCTACTGCCTTCATTCAGGTTTCCCATTGCTCAGCTTTTGAGAAGGTAGATAATACGCTGTCAGTTATACCTGGTACTGGGGACAACATTGTTGTTGCTGTAGAGTCTCCATCTGAATTTGAAGCACCTGGATATGTTGTCTGCTCAACTGAATCCATCTCTGAAATCATTTGTGATGTTGAAAGCTCAGTTCACGATCGATCATCTTCACCTGAATGCACTGCTGATCCAGCAGTGTTACTAACAGAGAGTAGGACTTCGTCACCTGAATCGGTGTTGTCACTAAATGAGCTGAATTTCCTTGCAGCTGATTCCCCGGTACCTCAGTTTAGGCCCTTGTCCCCTCTTCCACCACCTGTTTTCCCATGGGAACCTGGTGATGGTGCGGCTTCTTACCAGAAGCAACCGTTGTTGAGTGCAATAAGGGGCTCTCCTTTACTGCTAAGATCAGAAGCAGAGGAAAGGCCATTAACACCAATGGTTTCAAATAGAAGACCGTTTGGAAGGCCAGTCTCACCAGGCAGTGACTATAGTGGTGAGAGATCCATCTCACCTCAGTCATTAACTTTTGACATAGAGGACAGAGCATCATCACCCGAGTCTGTCATTGTAGAATCGGTACATTGGCTTTTTACATCTTCTGAGCATGGGACTCCTGACTTCCACAAGATGAGATCATGGTCCCCTGAATCTGCAGGATCCCTCTCTTCATGTTGTCCACCAGACTCGCCTGTCCCAGAATTTACACAACCTTTCGTGGAATCTTTCACAACTTGCAAATGTAGGTCATCATCGCCTGAGTCAGTGTCATCAGATGTGGAGTTTGAAGTAGCACTTTTATCAATGCTTTGTGAAGACAGGCCCTCATCTCCTCAATCTGTAGCATCTGTGGATGAATACAAAGCACTGTCACCTGATTCGCCCATACCTGAATTCAGTCACAACTGGCAAGATTCAGCCATTGTAACAATAGGAGAAAGATCCAGTTCACCCGAGTCAGTGTGCTCAGATGTAGAATATGCCTCTATGTGTCCATTTAACCATGAAGACAGATCTTCATCACCTGCTTCAGTTGCATCTGGAGAGGAATCAGTTTTACCTGTTAGGCGAGATAAAGAATCCTCTCCTGAATCAGCTGACTCTGCAGAGATCGTCAGTGTTACCAAACCTGCGGATCGTCGACTAAACTCACCAGTGTTTGATACGGAGAACAAACCACCATCACCAGTGGAATTAGAACCTGAGTATGAGGATGACTGGGTGATTATTTCAACATCTGATATTGACGAAAGGCCGCTTTCTCCAGACTCAGTGCCCGACTACAGACCGATGTCACCACAATCAGCGATGTTTGACATTAGAACATCCTCTCCTGAATCAGAGACATTAAATGAGTGCCTGTCCCCAGATTCTCCTATACCACAATATGCATCATCTACACATCATCCTGTCAGTTTAAATTACCACTCATCATCACCAGAATCTGTGTTGTCAGATACAGAGTATGAGGCCATGCCGTTGCTCCCATATTTTGAGAATAGGCCATTCTCTCCTGACTCCAGTGGCTCTGTAAGTGATTATGGGCCATTGCCAAATTCTGAAACAGACCTACTTCCACACAAAGACACGACACTTGAACCAACACGAGCTGCAGTTGTTGTAGAAGGAGAACGTGTTGAAAGGTTTGGAACGAAAACACATGTAACTGTTGATGCAGAGGAAACGGAAGAAGAAAGTTCAACCTGTATTTTGTCAAAATATGTACAGGAAAATCCTAAGACACAAGAGGAAACTGAAACTACCAAGATACAGTTATTAGTACCTGATGTCAGTCAGTCTGTTACATCACCAGCAGATGCTACAGTTTTTTCAGGCGATGAAATTACAGAGGAATTAGCTCATGAACCGTCGAATGCAGAGAAATCAATGGAGAAAAAAGACATATCTGTGAAAGAGAAGACGAAATGTGTTAAGAAGAAAAAGTCTAAGAAAGTACTCAAGGCTAGTTATGAACCTTCACAGACTGTTACAGAATCAGCAGACTTTAAAGCTCCTACATATGAAGAAACACAAGCATCTGATCAAACTTTGTCACCTCCTTTGTCACCTCAAACTGCATCTGAGGATCAAAAATTGTCATTGGCATCATCTACAAATGTCCCTACAGATCAGCAAATACTTGCAGAGTGTTTAGCTTTGGGACTTGAGCATCAAATACCTTTGTCTTTACCAGAACATTCCTTGCCACTCTACACTTTAGTTTATGACGGAGAACTCTGGAAGCTCATCTCTCAAATTCGTGACCCGCAGTACATAGGAGAAACCTTCATGAGTAAAATCGGAAAGCTTCAGTTTAATGGAACAGGGACAGAATCTTATCAGGCGAATTCAGAAGAGACAGGTGAAGAAAAGTTTGCTGTTTTACAATCAGACATTTACCAAAGATCACATTCACTTGATTCTGAAGCAGAATATAGACCCATGTCACCAGAATCATTATTGCTACTGGACACAATTAGACCAGATTCCTCCCTCTCAGGAAGATCTGTCGATAGTCAGCGGGCTTTAACACCAGATTCCCCTATTCCACAGTACATTTCCTATTTCTCAGAACCCTCTCAAGTTTATCACAAATCAGTGTCAACAGAGTCACTATTGTCAGATCTGGAACTGGAAACTGATTTAAACATTTCACTGCTTTTTGAGATCCGACCATCATCTCCTGATTCAGTGTCATCGGTAAACATGTACAGAGCACTATCACCTGATTCACCTATCCCCCAGTTTAGGCAGTCTTTACCAGAACCTGTTGTAAATGCTAAATTGGATTGGTCCTCATCATTTGATTCAGTGGACTCAGAGCTAGAATATGGGTTTGGCTCTTTGGCATTATTGTTTGATGAGAACAGACCACCATCTGCAAATTCCGTCAGTGAAAACAGGTCACTTTCACCTGAGTCGCCCATCCCAGACTTTGGAAAGGTTTTGCTAGAATTTTCTGATTTGACCACACTAGAAAGATCCTCATCAGAGGTTTCCATTTGCTCCGATGTAGAATACGGGGCTATGTCTCTGTCAGAGTGCTCTGAAGTGAGACCATCATCACCTGATTCAGTAACTTCTAGAGATGACTGCAGAGCTGAGTCCCCAATACCTCATTTCCAAACATGGATTACTGAATCAGCTTCCATTATTACACATAGATC